GAGGTTGGAGTCTGTTTGATTGAGTGTGTGGACAGGTGTCTTTTATACAGGTAATGAGTTCAAACAGGTGCAGTTAATACAGGTAATGAGTGGAGAACAGGAGGGCTTCTTAAAGAAAAACTAACAGGTCTGTGAGAGCCGGAATTCTTACTGGTTGGTAGGTGATCAAATACCTATGTCATGCAATAAAATGCAAATTAATTACTTAAAAATCATACAATGTGATTTTCTGGATTCCGTCTCTCACAGTTGAAGTGTACCTATGATAAAAATTACAGACCTCTACATGCTTTGTAAGTAGGAAAACCTGCAAAATCGGCAGTGTATCAAATACTTGTTCTCCCCACTGTATATACACACACATACATACACTCAGCAAAAAAAGAAACGTCCTCTCACTGTCAGCTGTGTTTATTTTCAGCAAACTTAACATGTGTAAATATTTCTATGAACATAACAAGATTCAACAACAGACAAACTGAACATGTTCCACAGACATGTGACTAACAGAAATTGAATAATGTTTCCCTGAACAAAGGGGGGGGGCGGGGGGGCAAAATCAAAAGTAACAGTCAGTATCTGGTGTGGCCACCAGCTGCATTAAGTACTGCAGCGCATCTCCTCCTCATGGACTGCACCAGATTTGCCAGTTCTTGCTGTGAGATGTTACCCCACTCTTCCACCAAGGCACCTGCAACTTCCCGGACATTTCTGGGGGGGAATGGCCCTAGCCCTCACCCTCCGATCCAACAGGTCCCGGACGTGCTCAATGGGATTGAGATCCGGGCTCTTCGCTGGCCATGGCAGAACACTGACATTCCTGTCTTGCAGGAAATCACGCACAGAACGAGCAGTATGGCTGGTGGCATTGTGATGCTGGATGGTGATGTCAGGATGAGCCTGCAGGAAGGGTACCACATGAGGGAGGAGGATGTCTTCTCCGTAACGCACAGCGATTGCCTGCAATGACAACAAGCTCAGTCCGATGATGCTGTGACACACCGCCCCAGACCATGACGGACCCTCCACCTCCAAATCGATCCCGCTCCAGAGTACAGGCCTCGGTGTAACGCTCATTCCTTCGACGATAAACGCGAATCCGATCATCACCCCTGGTGAGACAAAACCGCGATTCGTCAGTGAAGAGCACTTTTTGTCAGTCCTGTCTGGTCCATGGGTTTGTGCCCATGGGTGACGTTGTTGCCGGTTATGTCTGGTGAGGACCTGCTTTATAACAAACCCTCAGTCCAGCCTCTCTCAGCCTATTGAGGACAGTCTGAGCACTGATGGAGGGATTGTGCGTTCCTGGTGTAACTCGGGCAGTTGTTGTTGCCATCCTGTACCTGTCCCGCAGGTGTGATGTTCGGATGTACCGATCCTGTGCAGGTGTTACACGTGGTCTGCCACTGCGAGGACGTTCAGCTGTCCGTCCTGTCTCCCTGTAGCGCTGTCTTAGGCGTCTCACAGTACGGACATTGCAATTTATTGCCCTGGCCACATCTGCAGTCCTCATGCCTCCTTGTAGCATGCCTAAGGCACGTTCACGCAGATGAGCAGGGACCCTGGGCATCTTTCTTTTGGTGTTTTTCAGAGTCAGTAGAAAGGCCTCTTTAGTGTCCTAAATTTTCATAAATGTGACCTTAATTGCCTTCCGTCTGTAAGCTGTTAGTGTCTTAACGACCGTTCCACAGGTGCATGTTCATTAATTGTTTATGGTTCATTGAACAAGCATGGGAAACAGTGTTTAAACCCTTTACAATGAAGATATTTGGATTTTTACAAATTATCTTTGAAAGACAGGGTCCTGAAAAGGGGATGTTTCTTTTTTTGCTGAGTATATATATATATACACATACATACATACATACAGACACACACACACACATACATACACAAATATATATATATATAGGTCAAATTCAGGAGACAACGTGGTAGTTTGTTGCCTGAAGTTAGCCTACATCAGTAGATTGTCAGTTGGTTAAAGAGAGACATTTTCAAAATTCAGTATGTTACCCTGTATGTTAGACAAACAGGACAGTGTCCCAACCCTGAGCAGAGCCCATGGGGATTAGAAGGGCACCTTTATCTACAGTGCTCAATTCTAATTGATTTAACATCCAAAAACAAAAACAAGAGCATCTTGCTCAACACTTATCTAACTCAAGCAACATTATTTATTCCGGACAGTTTATTTATTAGGTACACCACCCCGTTCACGAAAATGGATCGCTCCTACAGACAGACAGTGAGTCATGTGGCCATGGCTTGCTATATAAAGCAGGCAGACAGGCATCGAAGCATTCAGTTATGGTTCGATTGAACATTAGAATGGGCAAAACAAGTGACCAAAGCGACTTTTGAGTGTGGTATGGTGGTCGGTGCCAGGCACGCCGGAACCAGCATTTCAGAAACGGCTTTTCATGCACAACAGTGTCTAGGGTTTACAGAGAATGGTGCGACAAACAACATCCAGTCAGCGGCAGTCCTGTGGGCGAAAACAGCTCTTTGATGAGAGAGGTCGAACGAGAACGGCAAGAATCGTGCAAGCTAACAGGCAGGCCACAAACAGACAAATAACGGCGCAGTACAACAGTGGTGTGAAGAACGGCATCTCGGAACGCACAACTCGTCGATCCTTGTCACGGATGGGCTATTGTAGCAGATGACCACACTGGGTTCCACTCCTATCAGCTAAAAAGAAGAAGAAGTGTCTCCAGTGGGCACGCGATCACCAACACTGGACAATTGAGGAGTGGAAAAACATAGACTGGAACATGACAGCGAGTTCAGTTTACTTGAGTGGCCTGCACAGTCCCCAGACCTCAACCCAATAGAGCATCTTTGGGATAAGATGGAATGGGCTGTTCTCAGAATTAATGTACCGCCGTCCAATCTGCAGCAACTGCGCGATGCCGTTGCGTCAGCATGGACCAACATCCCGTTGGAACATTTCTGACACCTTGTAGAATGCCCTGAAGAATTCAGGTTGTTCTGGAGGCAAATGGGGATCCGACCCGGTACTAGATGGGTGTACCTAATAAACTGGCCGCTGACTGTATATACATACAATGCAACAATGCATTTTAAACATGAAAATAAAACCATTTCTCTCCACGAAATACATACTACTATTCACTTTTTTCTTAAAAGGGAAAAATTAACTGCAAATCAGTCAATCATACACTATAGCAGCATACCGTATTGTGCTCTGGCTCCTGGTGCTGTGGCTGAGGTCTCTACACTAAGAACACCCCAAACCGACAGGAAATACAAGGTGCTCTAGGAGAGCTCATTGCTTTTAGTGGATTTGTTCTTGGTTGTATAGTTGAATATAGCAACATTTAAAGCAGCAATCAGCAGTTGAAACAATAACACCCCTGTTTTGGTAGAAAGCTAAGGGATGAGAAATGTAACCACTCAAATTCCTAGACAGAGCTATGGATGCAAAGACTGACCATCCATGATATCAAAATTATAGTTTTATCCATGTTTTTAGGCTAGTGCTTGTTTACATTTACTTGGTTTACAAAGATTTGAGTAAAACAAGCGTATATTTTGGGTTCTGATGGGGTACGGCAGTTGACCTAAGCTCATGAGTTATATTCTTCAAGAAACAAAATGGGAACACACAATTACATTTACAAGTCCAAAAATGGATGTAGCAACTGCAGATAGCCTCTAGAAAAAACACCACTTGGAAATTGTAAACAGAAGATTGAATGTTCACTCAGACTGGTGGTGGTAACAAGGGTTTCTAACAATCAGCACTTAAACACTTGTAAAATCAGATTATCAGATAAATGTTGTGATTTGAACTCCTCTCTGAATCTCAGAAAACTTCACTTGGCATGGGCTGTCATAAAGCTGAACTATGCTATCATAGACCACATGGCACCTGTCATGGTGGGCATCTGTCACATTTAATGTTTATTCCAGTGGAGGCTGCAGAGGGGAGGTCGGCTCATAATAATGTCTGGAACGGAGTGAATGGAATGGCATCGAACGCATGGAAACCATGTGCTTGATACTATTCCACTCCAGCCATTACCACGAGTCCTCCCCAATTAAAGGTGCCACCAACCTCCTGTGGTTTATTCAAAGTAAATAATCTAACACTCATGACACCTGAAAATGTGTCAACAGGTCAAGGTTCAGACTAGAAAGAAAATCACTGCATGTCATTAGACAGGTTAACTAGGTCACTGATTTCACAAAGTGGTTGTGGCAGATGTAATTTTGAAGTTCAAATAGCAATTTGTCAACATAATCCTTCCACTGTCATATAAAGTGTTATTCAAAGCTCTGAGTGAGGGGTAGTGAAATATTGTATTGTACTGATATGAAAGACTGATGGGGTGCAGAATAGGTATGTAGGAGTAATGGAGCCTAAATCTCCAGCCCATGTGGGTTTGCCATCAGCACCACCATAGCAAACATTAGCTAGCAGCTAGAGCGCTGCAGATAGAGACCTAACCTCTACACATACACACAAGCACCCAGGCACGCTTGCCAGTATACGCACGCACACACACGGAATCCAACACAGCAAGTGTTAAAAGGTGTCAGATGGGATCATCTTCACTTGCATCTAGGAACTGCTTTGTTGTGTTATGTTTACAGGAGAGAAACAAGATCATTTCTCTCCAAAAAGACAGGAACACAATGAAGGACTGTTTAACACTTTACCATACTTACTACAGCGTATAGAGAAAAAAGTATATGAAAAAAAATGTAAATATTCAGATTTATATAGTTAGATTTAGAGAGCTTACTGTGCTGTGAACCTATACAATTTACCCGTTTCTTAAATGAGCAAAGACAAACTAAAAAAGAACAAGACCAGGAAGATAATATCACCTGGAGGACAAACAGTAATATTCACTGAATAGACATTTGTTGGAACTCCAGAAGAGCAGGAAAAAGGCAGATAGTGCATAAACATTTTATCTTTCTCATTTTTACTTAAACTCAAGCTGCATTAAATACAGGCTGTTTGTACAGGACAATTGCACTTCACAAAATCAGAAATATACAAAACACACAAGGAAATGTGACTCAAATTACAGCAAAAAAAACTATTGTTTCAGCTGATTTCTTTTTTTTTTAACAACCTGCTGGACTCGCTAGTTATGGTTAAGGGGGAGCTGGATGAAAATAAAAGGTGAGACAAAATGGAGGGAATCCTGAACTCCAGAGTAGACTGGTGCTGCACTATCCGGGGTGTAGAGGTGTGTTTGCGTCTCTTCCTCCTCCTCCCATCATATTCCCTTCTTAAAAATTGAACGCTCGGAGTGGTGGGGAGACAGACTTCTGAACGGAGCTGCTGTGGGTCTTGAGTGGGTAGCGGTTTGTAAACTCTGTGCTGTGTTAATGGTAGAGGTTGTGTTACCACATGTCGTCTGTGGACGCTGAGTCCTTGAAGAAGGGAAGGAAGGAAAAACCCTTCAGACACTGGGTCTACATCCAAGGGGTCTCGATTTCAACTCCTGGAGATGTGCAAGAGGGCTGATCTTTCCACCCAAGAGGTTAATTTTGTCCTACACTCTAGTTACGAACTTGGACAGGAATAAATGTCCAAGAAATTGTTCAAGAAAGAGTACGGATAAGTGAGCAGAGCTTTCCGGCAATTGAGATTGAGATCCCTGGTATTAACAGCAATATATTGAAGTCTTCACTTTAACCAATTACATTTTTTCCAGTTCTGGACTGTAAAATAAGCTGATTATATTTGTCATATGCCATTTGATAGTAATTCTGCTCCAACGTAATTTTAGGCTGATCAAACAAACCCAAATGATGCTATTCCTAATCCAGAAAAATACATTTTCACAGATTAGGAAAAGCATTTTATTCCTGGTTTGTTTGAATAGCACCCTTATATTTTCTGTGATAAAAATTCCCGTTTCCTTCCTAGAAAGCCATGTCAGAATAAAGAGGCACAACATCTCATTCACGTCATCATGAGAATGTTTGGATATGAATGACTGCTTTATGAATGGTTGTTATGAATGATTGCTTCAATGAATATATTGCTTGTTAAACCATTTGTAAGATCCTCCCGTTTGAAGAATCTTGAATATTATCCCCATTGACGGAACTTTAGGGAGCAAGTACACAAGATTGATATCAAATAATTGCAGCCTAAATAAGGGTCTAAGATTGCCCTGCACGCATATATCAGAAAGCATCTTTGGCCTTCAAACACTGGGGGGCTATACTTGCAAACATTAAACTGTTTCTAAATGTAAATTGTTTCTCCATCTCAAAATCCCCATCAGCCAACCTGGCATACTTATCCCTATGCTAACAACACCAGCTGGACGTGATTATTTCCTTTAACAAATTCTGTATCAGCCAATTACAAATGTTGACATCACTTTTTCTTGAGAGCGTCCTAAAAGTTAAGTCCCCTATTTAGGGGACTGAGCGGTTCTGAACCGGTTCCAACCAACATTTTTGTGTATAGAGTGCTCTGTCAATGGCGCAACATCAATTGCTGTGCACTACGTGACATATCTGGTTGTCCCGCTTCGCATGCCGTTCTCCGCTCTCATCCGAGATGCAGTATGTAAAATCTGACACATTTGCAAAAGGGGCGACATGTCACATTTTCTGGCTTATCCAGACAAAGGATCGAACTCCCATCTGTGAAATTCCCAGCTCCGCTTACAATATGGCATATGAAATGGGAGACTAGCGATTGCAGCGAACAGTCTAATCTCGCTGTGATATTATCAGATGGATGGATGCAAAATCATTTTGTAGAATTGAAACAAGATGAAATCACCCCATTCTTACAGCTTAAGTTGTAACAAGTCAGCAGGCATTTGAATGGCTTCTGCGTGACGCTCAGAGGATGCTGGGCAGAAAATGCTCTGTCATTTATATGAAATGGTACCAATTTTGTATTGTCACTAAGTATGATAATATTTATTTTACAGTTAAAGGTTAAATACTATCATTTGATTTGTACTATACTTAGAAAGCATTTCAATCATTTCAAGCCCTATTCCCACACTTTTGTTGAATAGGAAGAAAAAAGATCATGATTTTTCATATGTTTATTATACTTGAGCTTACAGTGCATTCGTAAAGTATTCAGACCCATTGACTTTTTCCACATTTTGTTACGTGACAGCCTTATTCTAAAATGGATTTAATTGTTTTTTTCCCTGTCATCAATCTACACACAATACCCCATAATGACAACACGAAAACAGATTGTTAGACATTTTTGCAAATTTACAGAAAATAAAAATACTGAAATAATCACATTTACATAAATATTCAGACCCTTTACTCAGTACTTTGTTAAAGCACCTTCGGCAGCGATTACAGCCTCGAGTCTTCTTGGGTATGATGCTATAAGCTTGTCACAACTGTATTTGGTGAGTTTCTCCCATTCTTCGCTGCAGATCCTCTCAAGCTCTGTCAGGTTGGATGGGGAGCGTCGCTGCACAGCTATTTTTAGGTCTCTCCAGAGATGTTCGATCAGGTTTAAGTCTGGGCTCTGGCTGGGCCACTCAAGGACATTCAGAGACTTGTCCCGAAGCCACTCCTGCATTGTCTTGGGGTCGTTGTCCTGTTAGAAGGTGAACCTTCGCCGCAGTCTGAGGTCCTGAGTGCTCTGGAGCAGGTTATCATCAAGGATCTCTCTGTACTTTGCTCTGTTCATCTTTCCCTCGAACCTGACTAGTCTCCCAGTCCCTGTCGCTGAAAAACATCCCTACAGCATGATGCTGCCACCACCATGCTTCACCGTAGGGATGGTACCAGGTTTCCTCCAGATGTGACGCTTGGCATTCAGGCCAAAGAGTTCAATCTTGGTTTCATCAGACCAGAGAATGTTGTTTCTCATGGTCAGACTCCTTTAGGTGCCTTTTGGCAAACTCCAAGCGGGCTGTCATGTGTCTTTTACTGAGGAGTGGCTTCCGTCTGGCCACTCTGCCATAAAGGCCTGATTGGTGGAGTGCTGCAGAGATGGTTGTCCTTCTGGAAGGTTCTCCCATCTCCCCAGAGGAACTCTGGAGCTATGTCAGAGTGACCATTGGGTTCTTGGTCACCTTCCTGACCAAGGCCCTCCTCCCCCGATTGCTCAGTTTGGCCAGGCGGCCAGCTCTAGCAAGAGTCTTGGTGGTTCCAAACTTCTTCCATTTAAGAATGATGGAGGCCACTGTGTTCTTGGGGACCTTCAATGCTGCAGAAATGCTTTGGTACCCTTCCCCAGATCTGTGCCTCGACACAATCCTGTCTTGGAGCTCTACGCAATTCCTTTGACTTCATGGCTTCGTTTTTGCTCTGACATGCACTGTCAATAGTGGAATCTTATATAGACAGGTGTGACCCTTTCCAAATCATGTCCAATCAATTGAATTTACCACAGGTGGACTCCAATCAAGTTGTAGAAACATCTCAAGGATGATAAATGGAAACAGGATGCACCTGAGCTCAATTTTGAGTCTCATAGCAAAGGGTCTGAATACTTATTTAAATAAGGTATCCGTTTATTTTTAATAAATTGGCAAAAATGTCTAAAAACCTGTTTTCGCTTTGTCATTATGGGGTATTATGTGTTGATTGATGAGGAAAACATTTAAATCAATTTTTAAATAAGGCTAACAAAACAAAATGTGGAAAAAGTCAAAGGGTCTGAATACTTTCCGAATGCACTTTATGTCCTCAAAAGTGACTACACCTCAGCAATAAAAAATTTTAAATACCAGAAAGGTGAGATTTTAATCTTTCTGGCAGTATAAGCGTCACTAGGTATTGTTTATGGCCCTTTTAGGCGGAAATCTACAATTTCACAGGTGAACAGAAGTCACATGGCACCATCTGCTAATCAAAATTACTAAAATATGCACGAAAGTTCAATTGGACATATAGCTCACAGTATTGCGAGTCAGTATTTTTTTCGTGGTATGTTCGAATCACAGGTGAGATTGTTTTTTTCCTTTGGGAAATGTTGAATTAATTACGTTTATTGTACTAGTGTGTTGCGAAAGGTGTAGCCAAAACCTTGTAAATTAAGATTACAAATATATTTCATGAGGAGCTTCTTGGAGTCCCTCTTACAGAGTCACACATAGGCTACTGCTATACAGGGGTATAGAGCTGCCGGAGCGCACCGGAGCCACACTTTGCCACCTCTCAGAATGGTGCTTGATTAATGAAGTTTACATCAAAGCCAAATCAATATCTTGCAAGATGACTTATAGGGATACTTCGGTATTTTATCTACTTCCCCAGAGTCAGATGAACTAGTGGATACCATTTTTATGTTTGTGTCCAGTATGAAGGAAGTTAGAGGTAGTTATGCGAGCCAATGATAACTAGCGTTAGCGCAATGACTGGAAGTTTATGGGTATTTGCAAGCATGCTAGTAGATGCCAATTATACTTTGACTGGAAGTTTATGGGTATTTGCAAGCATGCTAGTAAATACCCATAAACTTCCAGTCAAAGTATAATTGGTTTAACAGCCAATGTGTATTGTTTAACATACTATTAAAATAGTACTCACTTACAGGAATGGATAATTGTTTACAAGTTGCTAGATATCCCATAAACCCATCGTTGAAAACCAAATTTTCATCTTCTGTGGTTTGGTAACTTCTTGTTCTTCGACGGAATCTAGCTGGCGCAGAGTTAAAAAAATTAAAAGTATGTGGCGTATGTCTCGCAAAGCCTTCAACCGCAAGAGGTCGTTGCGAATTCATCTGTTTTGGACGGTTCCCACTTAAATGAATGACATCCGCCGCAACATAACAGAGTGCTTATGGTTAATTTGAATTAGGCTCGTCGTCATTTTTTAAAAATGTACAATAAACGTACATGTTATAAAGGCATCATTTATATTTTTTCCGTAAAAGCATATGGATGTGTGTGAAACAGATAAGCAAAAACGTTTTGTCATACATGCGAAAACGTGAACATTTTGTCTAACGTTGGTACTAGTAGCTTAGTCACAGATGCATCAATGCAATATTGGCACACAACATTTGTTACAGATTAACAGAACAAAATTAAACATTACATTTGTAAGTTAAAAATATCCCTCTGGTGGCCATGGTTGACCTATTTTAAGAAATGCCATTGGTTAGTGGATAAAGTTTAAGTTCTTTGATAGGCTGATGCGGAATTTGTTACAGGAAATAATCACTGTCAGCTGGTGAGGTTAGCATAGGGCTAACCTGTGCCAGGTTATCTGATGGGACCAGCTACAATGTTGCGTTCTATCACGTACAAGTAAATGGACTATTTTAATTGGCCGATGCGCATTTTCACACAAACAGTTTAACGTTAAACTGTTTCTAATGTTCGCAAGTATGGCCCAAGAGACTTTCCCTATGGGCAACACATAGGCTGTGTTTACACAGGCAGCTCAATTCTATTATTTTGCCCAATCATTGGCAAAATATCTAATCTGATTGGTCAAAATACCAATTAGTGGCAAAAGATCAAAATTGGGCTGCCTGTGTAAACACAGCCTAGATGTGTTAACTGTTCTGTGATATTGGCTGCTGTGTCAATTCAGGAGTAAACTAAACCATACCCATCATGAAACAACTGAACTGTGGGAAGAACTCAATTAATTCTGGGATGTTATGGTAACGAGTAAAGTGGATTACAGAGCAAATCGAAAGTGAATTACAAACAAGGCTGATACTCAAAAGGTGAGTGCTACAATAAACTGAAACATTCAGAAATCCATATATTGCCTCCCCTTGATTCATCTTTAAAATCAGATAAAAGTTATTGATATGTTGAACGTTACAAATTGAGTTGAAAACGAACACAAAAATATTAATGTAATTGTATTTTGCCCTCGAAATACAAACCAATGTGCACAAACACACTATTTGATACAAACAAGTATCTACATTCATATACATTCAAATAAACAAGCTTTTGTGAGTGGATAGCAGTCGTCAGGAGATACTTACTGTGTCGTCACTTCGGTATGGGTTGAGTTTGTTGTACACTGCTTCAACAACATTTCGTCTAGGACACAAAAAAGTTAAGTTACCATAAAGGTTTAGCTTTGCAAGCAATAACAACACCAATGTATATAAGCCCAATAAAAACAAAACACAGTTTATACAGCAGAGCTAAATGCTGAGCATACAAGGCTGGAATTGAAGGGCAAAATTCAATTAGCCCAACTAACAGCCGAAACTTCCACGCTAGTCCAAACTATCAAAACCACTTTGGTGAAAAGTCATTAAACCTTACCCTGCAAAGCATGCTACCATTTCCCTAGTACTTAATCGACCTCAAAAACTTTGGAGTTGGCTGAGGTCCAGTTAAAAGAGCTCACTCACTTGCTGGCCAGCTCACCACCACGAGGGAGGTTAGGGATGCTCTCTGATGCTAACGTCCGCATTACGTGGACCAAGTCTGGAACCCCTTCGTTTCCCTGCTTCTTTATGATCTCTGTGGGAATAGTAGAACCACATTCTCTATGAGTGGAAAACAATATCACAATGGGTGAAGTGAGCTTGAACCACATCATATTCATGACAAGATTCTTATATTATCTAGGTTTCTATACGGCATATTTAGATGCTGCACCTTCTACTCTGCTCTCCAGGTACTTATCCAGCTCCGCTTCCCTTTTCACGGCATCTGCAGTCACCTTTGGAGCCCCTGGGAGGCAGATCAGCACAACGCTCATATTGTCCCGACTCCCCTGTTCAAAGAGAGAGAGAGCGCAATACAGACAGACTTAAAAAGGAAAGGATTTACATTTTCTTTTGCATATTCAAGTAATCCAAAGGCATCCATTTTTTAAAACATTTTAGTCATTTAGCAGACGCCCTTATCCAGAGCGACTTACAGTAGTGAGTGCATACATTTTCATACTGGTCCCCCGTGGGAATTGAACCCACAACCCTGGCGTTACAAGTGCCATGCTCCACCAACTGAGCTACAAGGGATTATGACGCCTACTCATGTGACAAAATGCTGTGAAAAATGAAAACTGCACACTCTACATCTGCGTGGTAAGATCCAGGTACATGCAAATGCTTAACTGTTACTGATTCTGTGAACAATAAATTGACAGGTCTCACCTTGTATAAGCAAGTGTCAACAATTTCATTGCAGACTCTCTCAAGGTCATCGGTCACCTCTAGCCTGGACCTGACAAAGTCACACAGTTCTTCATTGGCCATAACATCCCAGATGCCATCGCAGGCTAGGACAATAAACTCATCTTCCACCGCAGACCTTTCAATGGCATACACCTCAGGCTCTGGTGAAACCAGCTGCTCCGTGGGGCCCTTGCCATGCACACACTTGTAGTCGAAGTCTCCCAGGGCACGGGACACAGCCAGAGAGCCGTTTACTCTCTGGATCATGACAGAGCCTCCGGCGTTCTGAATCCTCTCCTTCTCCAGTGGGTTGCTGGGCTTGTGGTCCTGTGTGAAGAAGTGCACAGCTCCTCCACGGCTCAGAAGACCCCGGGAGTCTCCACAGTTGATGAAGTAGATGTGGCCCGGGGAAATCATGACCCCCACAGCAGTTGAGCCACTGCGGTCCACACCGTGCTTCTTCTCTGAGATGTTCCGCATGTGCTCATCAATCTGCAGGAAACCTGTGCGGATGCCGGTCTTCACACTCTCTACGTTGGGCTCCAGAGAGCTCTGGAAGTCTGGGTTGCTGGTGATGTGCTCCAGCAGGTGCTCACAGCAGTATTTGGCCACCTGGGAGCCAGCATGCCCATCATAGACAGCAAAGAAGGACCAAGGGTCGAGCCCATGAGGCAGGCCAATGACTGCCGTGTGCGCATCCTCCATCTCCACCCTCCAGCCCTGCATGCTGCTCAGGCCATAGGTCAGACTGTTCCCCTCACCATGAGCATTGTGCTTCTCCATCTTTGGCTTGTCCAAAAACGCCCCCATTGTATCTCTTAAAACCTTCAAAAACATAAAAAAAACAAAGGATAATATAATATGTTCACTTGTTATACTGCTAAATTCGGCTACATGTTTACTAAATAAACACCAAAATATTCGCCAAATATAATTAGTTAAGATATGGATGATTTCGAAGAACATGACATTGCTACAATCCTTTTATGGCAAAAATATTAGCTAGCACCTTGGGCTGCTCTCATACGTTGCACACTCTCTGCTCTAAAAATAGGTGAGTACTGTAGTGTAGATACATATTTGGCTCACCACCTAGTTAGAAACAACCATCAATGAAGAACTAACGTTAGCTGCTAGCTAAATAACCTATTTGTAGGTGTTGGGCATTGATTGTGTGAGTTCAACACATACAATAAAGTCAGCACTGCAAATAGTTAACGTTAGCTACCCAGATAGCGAAACAAAATCCCCCCGCTTGCTATTTTGCGCTTTCCCTACGCCCAAACCAGCTAGGTCCCAAGCCAACGTAAGCTAGCTAGCTAACGTTACGTGTTGTTGTTTTGTAGCTAGCTAGCAAGTAGCAACGTTACAATACAGTGTAGTTAGCTAGTTAGTTTATCGTTTTAGCAATGTTAGCTAGCAATGAAGTAGTTAGTTGGTAATCTTAGCTAGCTAATGCTAGTTACGTAAAATAGTTAACAAGCTAGCACGCCGAACTAGCTAGTTACTGTAGACATCGTCCAACTAAGTCAATGACAGAGCCAGGGTTACTTAAAATGTAAGGAGCAAGGAAAACTTTTGATGATCACGAAGTGACGAACAAGAATGTTTTCAACAACGTTAACTAGCTGGCTGGCTATGGTAGCTTGCTAATTAGCTTAAATCCTCCCGTGGCAATAATATTAAAACCAAAATAAACAAACAGCTGCGTCGTTGTGGGCCTTGGCCCCATAGCTTTGGCAGGCCTTACACTGCCCCACGGCCTATCCTCATCGCTAAGCCCCCGCTGAGTATAGCTAATCAGCAATGCTAACAGACTAGTTTGGTAGACAATCAGAGAGATTTCTTACAGGCACAAACCACTGTGACTTACCTAAATCTGCGAGACCTGTTTTGAAGTTGTAAAGACAGAGCAGAGGTGCTGTGACCGCACCAGAAACACCGACGAGATGGAGGGAGTTTGCGGGTAACGTTAGCTAGCTAGCAATCACCTCTGTGCATCAATTTGTGAAAGTGCGGAACTCCCTGTTCTGACTAAACCAGGGATGCATTACTTTATCATTTGGCGACGTAAAGTATAATGAAAATGTCCCTCCTTTGAAGTTGTAGGCCGGAGCTGTTATGGCCAAATTAGTGTCAAGCCCCAGCCTATTCACTTGAATTTGACAGCCTGCAAACTAGCTAAACCAAACACTGGACTCGGAAAATACCCGGATGTTGCAGGTTGCGTTCTTGAAATCATTACATCATCCCTATGAGGCAGTTGGTAAACACAAAAGCCCATACATTGATTCAACCATAGAGATCCTATTAAATTACTAGTTTAATAGTTAAATACATTACTGCTATTATTAGTATTCTAATTCCTAATTCTATGGATTCAACATTGTAAAGGCGAACACGCATATTAACATAAAGCCAATAGATTTCGTATGGAAATATCTGTGGCGAATCAAAATGTTCTCAGTATGCATTTCTATCAGTCACAATCTGTATCACTCTATGTCTCTATTAAAGTGGCACAGTGCGCCAAATATCAGCATTAATCTTGTCTATTCAACCTGAAATATATTTTTAAAAATCCTAATAATGTTTTTCTATAAGAGTAAACTGTGTTTTGTATTTCTAATAGTCGCTTCAGGGTTATTGCGTGACATTATTTTCCGCTAAAGATTATGGATATACTGATAAGATACTTGTCTCTCCGCCCTAAGAATGGGAGTCATTGTCAACAAAGCGGCACCGCAGACTGTTTAATCAAACAGGGGCTGCTGCCGCGTTCAAAACAACTGGGAACTCGGAAAAATAAGAGGTCAAGTCATGACGTCAGTGATCTTCAGGTCGGAAAGTGGGAGCTCTAGAAGAGGCCCGAGTTCCCCAGTTGGATGACTGTTCAAATCGATTTTTCCCAGTCGGAACTCGTTTTTTCCCCGAATTCTCAGTTGTTTTGAAGGCACTGAAGTCAGAAGTCAGAGATTTCAGAGTTCACAGTTCCCAATTGTTCTTACTGTGGAATGCAGTGTTTGGTTTTCGCCAGGCATAATGGGACCCATCTCGTCCAGAAAGTTGACTCAAGTTTGCCAAAAAGCACCTGGATGATCATCAATACTCTTAGAAGAACGTTCTATGGACAGATGATTCAAAAGTATAACTTTTTGGACGACATGGTTCCAGTAATGCCTGGCGAAAACCAATTCCTCAGTAAGAACATCATACCAAAGGTCAAGCATGGTGGTGGTGGTGTGATGGTTTGTGTATGCTTTGCTGCCTCAGGACCTGGACGACTTGCCTTAATAGAAGGAACCATGAATTCTGCTCTGTATCAGAGAATTCTACAGGAGAATGTCAGACCATCCGTCTGTGAGCTGAAGCTGAATCGCAGTTGGGTCATGCAGCAAGACAATGATCCAAAACACACAATCAAGTCTACATTAAAATTGCTAAAAAGCAACACATTTGAAGTTTTGGAATGGCCTAGTCAAAGTCCAGACCTAATCCCAATTGAGATGTTGTGGCAGGACTTGAAACGAGCAGTTCATGCTTGAAAACCCACACGTCACTGAGTTAAAGCAGTTCTGCATGGAAGAGTGGGCCAAAATTCCCCCACAGCGACGTGAGAGACTGATCAACAACTACAGGAAGCATTTGGTTGGAGTCATTGCAGCTAAAGGTGGCACAACCAGTTATTGAGTGTAAGGGGGCAATTACTTTTTCACACAGGGGAATTGGGTGTTGCATAACTTTGTTTATGAAATAAATATGTAATAGTTGTGTTATTTGTTCACTTATGTTCCCTTTATCTAATATTAGGTTTTGGTTGAAGACCTGATAACATTCAGTATCACAAATATGCAAAAGTAGAGAAAATTAGAAAGGGGGCAAATACTTTTTCATAGCACTGTATATCAGTACACTCCTAACAACCTAAGCATAGAGCCACACAGTGGAGGTGTCATAATATCCATAAAACCTAGAGGTCAAACAGGAAATTGGTTCCAATAGTTTTTCCACCATTCATTTCCCCCCATAGAAACACTTAAAATAAGGGCTGTGTTTCATGTAGGCTTACCCTGGCATGACGTTTTGATAACCATGTAAATCTCTCTCCGACAAGGTGACTGATTCGAAAATGCTAATTAGCATAAAAGTAGACATCATGCAAGACTACAAATCCCTGCAAACTCCTGCATGTCATCTCTAGCTGCCACCTTTGCTAACACCTACATTTAAAAATGTTTTTTGCCAATTTGTTCATTACTACATTTAGCTAATATTAGATAGTTAATCCAGAGATTCTTACCTTTGCCTCAATTCGGCAGTCTCGTCCAGATCATCATGGCATTTTTAGTTCTTTACGATAGCCACATTAGCAGCTAATTAGCGTTTCATTTGTTGGGGATAAAAACAGCCAAATATATTGATAAAAGTCACATTGTCCGAGAGAGATTTACACGGTTATCAAAACGTCACGCCGGGGTAAGCCTACGCGAAACACAGCCCTTATTTTAAGTGTTTCTAAAATCCCCTAAGGGAAACATTTATGGTGGAAAAACGATTGGAACCATTTCCCTGTTTGACCTCTAGATTTTATGGGTATTATGACTGATACTGTGGCACTCTATTAACCTCATGTAGTAAATACATTTTCAAATTCGACACTGTCATTGACATTCATATAAAAACTCCTTGCTTGGTGGGCGGAAAAACGAAAAAACGCCACCTGCTGGAGGGAGACAGATTTTCCGCGGAGTTGGGCCTCTCTTCACCTCTTCCTCTCTAAAACTCAGTGGTCACAAGGGCTGCAGATGACCGTTGTTCTTGTGTTGTGACTGTCTTTCATAACATTTTCACACCAGCCAGACAGAAGAATATGGATTGTTGCATGATACTTTCTTGTACAGTTTGTGCACTTCATATTTGCAGACGCTGACTTTACCTTACTATGGGCAACCTTGTTAGGGAGCAAGCCAGGTAACAACACCTGTCCCGTAATTTTATTGATCAAGAACTCCAGGCAGTCGCCACTGCTGGCAATGTACAAGGAGTTTTTCAATATAGATATATTGTAACCAGTGGCCTGTATTGATGGAGGCTTCCCCCCCAAAAAAGTATTATAATAACATTAAATAATGTATCTTTCGTCTCTGTGTTTCATAATTGTCCTTCAATTCGCAAGAGGCTGAATGTATCTCACAGGAGAAAGCATCCGAGGCGAGCGAAACAGCGACCTCTGTCTCTCTACGTGTAGGCCATCTATCTGATACTGTCTGGTGCAAACGAGTATGACATTGTTGTGCCCGTAGCATTGAATATAAGGGAACCCAGCGAGCATTTGGCCACAGATAGAACAATGAGACAGGTATTTCACTGGATGTATAAATGTGAAGCATCCTCTTGGCGTTTCCACTCACTACCAAATATGTACTCAAAGCAACCTTTACCTTGGTTGCTTACCCTCAAGGTTCAAGAGGGGCCAATTACAACAAGGTGTAGGGACTAGGGGGCTCATTTATCAATCATGCGTAGGCACAGAGTAAACCATGCGTGGGATCATTTCCACCCACAGTGTGCGATTTTTCAATATGAACGTTTGCTTGAGTGTGCGTAAATTTGCACATGGTCATGACATGCTTAATTATGCACAGTGCCAAGTGATGGAACAAGGGAACTGCTTGTCAAGCCTATAATGGGGAAAATATACACTATATATACAAAAGAATGTGGACACCCCTTCAAATTAGTGGATTTGGCTATTTCAGCCACACCCGTTGCTGTCAGGTGTATAAAATTGAGCACTGCAATCTCCATAGACAAACATTGGCAGTAGAATGGCCTTACTGAAGAGCTCAGTGACTTTCAACGTGGCACCGTCATAGGATGCCACCTTTCCAACAAGTCAGTTCGTCAAATTTCTGCCCTGCTAGAGCTGCCCCGGTCAACTGTAAGTGCTGTTATTGTGAAGTGGAAAAGTCTAGGAGCAACAACGGCTGGCGAAGTGGTAGGCCACACAAGCTCACAGAACGGGACCACCAAGTGCTGAAGCATGGAGCGCGTAAAAATCGAGCAGCACACAAGCCTAAGATCACCATGTGCAATGCCAAGCGTTGGCTGGAGTGATGTAAAGCTCGCCGCCATTGGACTCTGGCGCAGTGGAAACGCGTTCTCTGGAGTGATGAATCACGTGCACCATCTGGCAGTCCGAAAGACGAATCTGGGTTTGGCGGATGCCAGGAGAACGATTCCTGCCCGAATGCAGAGTGCAGACTGTAAAGTTTGGTGGAGGAGGAATAATGGTCTGGGGCTGTTTTGCATGGTTTGGGCTAGGCCCCTTAGTTCCAGTCAAGGGAAATATTAACGCTACAGCATACAATGATATTCTAGACGATTCTGTGCTTCCAAATTTGTGGCAACAGTTTGGGAAAGGCCCTTTCCTGTTTCAGCATGACAATGCCCCCGTGCACAAAGCGAGGTCCATAAAGAAACGTTTTGTCGAGATCAGTGTGGAAGAACTTGACAGACCTGCACAGAGCCCTGACCTCAACCCCATCGAACACCTTTGGGATGAATTGGAACGCCGACTGCGAGCCAGGCCTAATCGCCCAACATCAGTGCCCGACCTCACTAATGCTGTTGTGGCTGAATGGAAGCAAGTCCCCGCAGCTATGTTCCAACATCTAGTGGAAAGCCTTCCCAGAAGAGTGGAGGCTGTTATAACAGCAAAGGAGGGACCAACTCCATATTAATGCCCGTGAATGAGATGTTCGAGGAGCAGGTGTCCACATACCTTTGGCCATGTAGGGTATGTTGAAAATGTGTGAAATTGTGAGAGTAATAATTAAAGCATGTTTTGATTTCATTGTATTTCCATTGTGAATTCATGCAACATATCTTGACATATCAGTGCATTTGTTACGATAATAATCCATATAAAGTACAGTAATTTGTTAAATTAGAGGTACATGTGAAAGTGAAACCATTGTTGAAATCAGTGACGATTTTAGCATGTAAATCTTGGTGGGGCAAACAAAAACTAAAATTGGGGGATGCATGCCAGCAAAAGCCACTACACAACACAACACTAAACAATACATTAATTGCACTATAACGGTGACAAATGGTGCCCACAAACTGTTAGGGCCTAAATAATGCTGTCCCAACAGCAGAGTCCCAACAGCAGTCCCAACACCTTACCACTGGTACACCTGGCTATCAGCGGAGCCTTGTCTGGCAGCGAAACAGTTCATTCAGCCTCATTTACTGCCTTTAAAAAAAACATAGCTGATATGGCTGACTTGCTTAAACAGATGTGGTTTCTACTGACAATTGAGATGTACAAACTAGGGCATAAGGAGACAACAAGCGGATAAGAGGCAATAAGTAATTTCGATTAAGACATTAATGAGCGAGCTAGGACGGACGTAGTCAATATAACTATTTGTTCAACACTTTTGAAATATACAGTGACAGAATTCAGAACATGGGCCGTTCTTACAGTGTTCTCCCTGTACACCAAGTCAGAACCGTAAAGGGGGCATATAATCAGACAATGAAAGCGCTTACAATATTCAATGATTACATTTCTCTAAAACAGGTTATAGGCTACATGTGCACCACCAAGTCAGAACAGTAGGCAAAATTAAGAGGGGAAAATAGACAAAATTATTAGGGTGATGCAAATGGGCTACAAACAGCTTACTACACAACATACACTTAGTATTACTTTCTTAGCTATAGTATACAATCATGTCAAATCCGTTACTATGTTGTGATGTCATTAAAGACGGTGGAACAACATAACTGTATCTCTGGGTGTGTACACTTCCCAGTTATGAGGTTTGCATCTAATTGTTGTATAAAATGAATGATTAAGTATAACAATACTTTTGTGAAGATAACAATGTGAATTTAGCATTCTAGATGAGATGATTGTTTTCCATATTGATTTGTTCTTAGTCAGTGGCCACGCCCAGATGAGCACAAACATGATGGAAAGCCCCTTTTACCCCGAGTGCATAAAAAGCCTTGTGACTAAATTTACCTCAGACCAGGAAGCCCCATGGCTTAAAATGGTTGACACTCTACAAGACCAGCAGACGTGAAGCGTGAGCTAAACGTTACACATTGGTTTAAAACTACAACTCCATTACCAAAGGAAGACCAGCAGACGTGAAGCGTGAGCTAAATGTTGCAAATGGTTGAATTTCTACCAGACCAGGAAGCGTGAAGCTGAAGCTGCATGTTACAAAATGGTTAGACCAGAAAGACCAGAAAACGTGAGACGTTAGTCCACACGTTTGAAATGGAGAAACTCTGAAACTCTCAACCTCTACACGAGGTGAAGAAGAAGACAATGCACTAGACCTTATCATCTCAGTCTGCAGCTGGCATGTATAGTCGTCTAGAGAACTTTCACTAAAGACATGAGTTGGGAAGGACAATCCCTCTCAGACAACCGCTGGTACATCTAAAGAATCCATTCTAACCACAACTACGACCAGAAACTTTACCAAGGACACTGGGATCTCTGGTGGGCAAACCAGAGTCCTACATCATCAACTCAACTATCGAGGACAGCTACACGTAAATACATGTTGCATTTCTAATCCGAATGAGCGTTTAGTGGGGTTTTAAGCATTTGTATTTCCGTGAGCATAGTTTCCAAAGTAACCACGATAGTTTGAATCTCTGTCTTTCCCTTCCACTCTGACCCTCCTTCTACCCAAGCATTCATGCTATTGTTAGTCCAGTCCACTAGGGACCTGTTTTCATTGTATTACGTTAGTAATCAATAACCTATGTGTGTGTGTGTTTGTATTGTGTTATTATTTAGTTAGTTAGTAAATAAATAATTAAGCCAATTTGTGTATTGCTGATTCATCAATAAGGTCAGGGTTCTTGCAGGTTCAAGGATTCTGCGACGTTCCGAATGAGACTGATAAGAGGTAATTATTTGATAAGTGACTGTTATCGATATATAAAATAAATATATTCTAAGAGTTTAATTCGGGAGATGGTAACTCGTTAAACAACTTCTTCCGTGGTGCCCCAAATTCCTGATGAGTTAATTGTTACATGATTAATTTAATCGAGTGACAATTAAACATAGTTAGGCGATTCGATAAATAACAGTCATACATTAAAGTAAGTCACGTCACGACAATGGCTTATTGGTGAGTGCCTACTCATTTGAAGTATATTTGCCATTGCTAAAGCAACTTGAGTTGTCCTAGTGGTCCTTTCTTTTTTATTTTTACTGATCAAGCCACAACTGAGCGAGCCAAATAAAACCTTTTGGTTGTCCTCAATCTCTGACACTAGCACCTGTATTTCAGTCTCGTAAAAGTTTTTTTTTCTTAGCTATTTTGGATTGCGCCCTTGTATTTCATGGTACCGCGTTGTATATTCCCAACGGGGTTTAAAGGTATGATTTTGACCATATTTGGTTAATTAGGGGCGTTTCGAAATGCAAACTGCCATGGTCGTGCACGAGCACTGAGGCTGAGAACAGAGTGACAAGATGGTAGTCAGGGGAACCCATTGAGGGTGGTAAAAAGGCGGGCAGGAAAAAAAGGAAGGAAGTGGAACATATTAAGAGGAAATATGGAGTACTGCAGAAGGAAATTGAACATGATGAGAGTGAGGATTAATTAACTGCGGTGTCAGGTGCAGTAAAGACCATAGAGTTTGAGCCTCTTCCCGATGGTGATAAATACGTTTTTTTGCCCAGTGTGTGAGATCTTGGGAGAGAATGGATCCTTGCCTTCTGGCTGATCCATATGTGATGTCAGGTTGGATGGAGAAGAGGTTGGGGAAAGTTGGGTCGGTGAAAGTGACTGGAAGGGGAATTGTGTCGATTTTTTGTGTTTCTGCCATTCAGAGCGAGCATGCGCTTAGCACCACGCGACTGGAGACAAGAACTGTGATTTGCTTTCCTCTCAGGAGCAGGGTGCCATTGAAAGGAGTGATAACTGGAGTGGCGTTAAATGTTGAGCAGGGCCAACTAAAGTTGAAGATTCCTGGTATCTGAAACAGAGAAGACACTGTCTGTACTACTGAATTTTTATGTTTTTACTAGATAAAGTCAAGTTAGGATGTGTCAGTTATGCCGTGAGAGATGTTGGCGCAAACCCATTACGGTGTTTTAGGTATCAAGCTTATGGTCATGTGGCAGCAGTGTGTAGGAGGGAGATTCCTAGATGTGAGAAGTGTGCAGGAGGACATGAGACAAAGGAATGTGTAGTATCAGTGGAAAAGGTTGTGTGTGTAAACTGTAGGGGTACCCATGGTGCTGGAGATCAGAGGTGGCTGGTGAGAGAAAGGCAGGTTGGGGTTGCCAGGATCAGAGTAGTGCATAAGGTGTCGTATGCTGAGGCAGTGAAGAGAGTAGTAGAGGAAGATGGGTCCAGGGTGAGGGATCCTAAGAGGATCCCTGTGAGCAGGCCGAGGTCAATAGAGAGTGATAGGAATAACATGTGCTTCAGTATTTCTCTTATTTTTTTGCTGTTCATGGCCATGGTTGTCAACTGTACTGCAGGAATGGAACGTAAATCACAGAGGATGGATGTTGTGGTGGCAGCTGCAGAGAAGTACCTGGGTGTACAAGATTTTATTGCAGAAGAGTTACAAGGTGTTTTGAACGATAGTGTCCCGTCCTCCCAGGTTGATGGCCTGGTGTAGGATCAGATAGGGCCAAAGTAGTGGAATAGTGATGAGGTTTTAATGGGTGTATGGTTAGTTGGTAGGGCAATTTTTACACAAAGTGTAATGAATTTATACTACAGAATAGTAGGCTGATACACAGACAATATAGTAGGTGGCGGCATGCACCTATAACATTTGTTTGCGGACCACCATAATACCAAAGAAGAAGAGACTGAGAACAATTGGTATTTATCTATGGTTTTCTCCTATCGGTGTGTGTAAGACACTCGTAGGATTGTTTGATAAATCATACTTTTTCTATGCGTTTGACCATTGTAAATTCAGTTCGTAAGTAGTATTTTAGAATAGTTTATATGCAGTATTGATAAATGAGGCCGCTGGTCTATAATGGTTGAAAAAGGTGGGTAACCAGGTAATAGGGGATATGAAAGCCACAACTGTACTATGATACAATATGACCCTCCACCAGCACTCTCAAACAAGGCTGTAGCAGAGAGGAAGAGCGAGGCCCAACTCGGTGGAAAATCTCCCTCCCCTTTTATTGTTTCGCCCACCAAGCATGGAGGTCAAAATGAGTGTCGAATTTGGTCAACAAAAAAATATATCTTATTTGCTATGTGAGGTTTATTTGATTGAATATACGTTTTGTAACGCTTAAGTTGTTACGAGTGTACTGATATAAGTAGGACAGGTGACATCCCGACAACTTTGAGAAAAAACACTTTATATTGGAGTTGTCTCGAGATGGCTATGCATATTCATGGCATGAGGCTAGTAGCATAGCATCTCTCTCATCGAATATTCAAAAAAGGATTACAATAATGAGATGTATCCACCAATCCAAAGAAAGGGTTGGAGGGAGCTAGACAGCCCACAGTGCCGCTTTGTGGACAACAACTCCCATTGTTAGGGCGGAGAGACATGTATCTTCTTGTCAGTATATCCATAATCTTTGGCTGTAGTACTGTTTCTCAGTATTTTCAGGTCAGAGGTTGAAGAACCCTAGCCTGGTGGAACCAGCCTGATCGCTTCATTCACCATTCTATTTCCCTTCAAATAGAATGGTGAACACAGCAATCAGGCTGGTTCCACCAGGCTATGAACAGTGAACACCCTACTGTACTCTACCTACAAACAGGCACAGTATTAGCTGTGAACAGTAACACAATTGGCTGGTTGTCTTCTAGAGACCAAGTTGAATGGACTGGTGGTATAGGGGAGGAGCTGGCTTACCAACTAGCTGGATGTGGGTCTCGTCTGATTCTATCAGCCTGCTGAGTGGATGAGTTGGATCAGGTGAAACGTCACTGTTTGGGTGAGTGAGAATGTTCTGCAGTCTAATGAAGGCCACACATGCTCTTGCACACCATTGTGTTGATTAACTTGACTATTAAGAATGAAACATTTCATAGCCTACCACTTCGATGCATTAACAGTAGTAATTGTGATTTTATACACCTCCTAGCCCCGCAATTTCTGACCGGGTTAACATTTAAAATGTTTCTTCCCCAAGAGCGCTCCAACTTACAAGAGAAGGACATTCTTGTACTTCCACTTGATTTGCTGGAGAGGGCATCCCATGAGGCAAAAACTAAAACTTGCTATCCTGCACTTTGGCAATGTAAGGCTACTACGCTAATTTATAACTCTCCCTTATCACTCTATCTCAGTGGGATTTTAAGTAAGCTTAATTTAACTTTAGTGTCTGACAATTTCCACTCAATCAAGGTTGAAGAAGTAACCATTCATTAGTCACGTAGGACATAGTTTCTTAGCATTTACTTAATAGTCTGGCCAGACTGGCCTTACTTATTTAAAAGACAAGACATTGTATTCAACAGACATGCTCACTACCAACCAGCTCCCAGAGGCAAATTATGCACATGCTCAACATGAAAATGGAATTCAAGGCTAAGTTCAGTTGTGATAGGTGATTTGAAGGAGTCAGGCGCAGGAGGGTAAATCACAGAATACAGAATTTATTCCGGAATACAGAGTTACACAGAAATGCGTCAAACAGTCCAGTGCGCAAAACAGGCGCACTGGAACCAAACAGGCACACAGGGGGAAAAAATACCCTGGCAATACAAAATACACAGAGCTCAACCGAGCTACACTCTCCTCACAATAAACAGTCACACACAAGGACAAGGGGGCAGAGGGAACACTTATACAAGTACTAATGAGGCGATATGAACCAGGTGTGTGTAATAAACAAGACAAAACAAATGGAATGATGAGATGAGGAGCGGCTGTGGCTAGAAGGCCGGTGACGACGAACGCCAAAGCCTGTCCAAACCAGGAGAGGAGGCAGCTTCGGAGGATGTCGTGACACCAGTACAGCTCAGTCTTATTAGATGTGTTGTCTTATTCTAAGGGCTCTATTTTATAAAGCCTAACACAATAGTAAAGGTTTGGGGGTGTGTCAGAAATATTTGTGCTATTTTCACAACCAGAATTATGTGAGCAGTAGCTGGCGGTGGCATGTAAAGGCTGGGTTTTGATGAATAAACAAGTTGTAGGTGTGTCTCTAGGCTTGACTCCTCACTGGCCAATCAGAACGTGCTCCATGGCAAAATATGTGGTTGCTTTAATCCGTGTATTTAGTATTTTATGTTTTGCATTGTCATCAACTCCAATTAGAATGTTAGTCCGTTACAGCCTAGTTTGTTAAATAGCCTACAGAAACAAAATAACAAAATATAGGATATCCCATATTTGCTAAATATGTTGAACATGTTTGCAGTCCACATTGTTCTAATTAAATGCATGGCTTCAATATGGAAAAATATTGTTACAGTGGGGAAAAAAAGTATTTAGTCAGCCACCAATTGTGCAAGTTCTCCCACTTAAAAAGATGAGAGAGGCCTGTAATTTTCATCATAGGTACACGTCAACTATGACAGACAAATTGAGAGAAAAAAATCCAGAAAATCACATTGTAGGATTTTTAATGAATTTATTTGCAAATTATGGTGGAAAATAAGTATTTGGTCAATAACAAATGTTTCTCAATACTTTGTTATATACCCTTTGTTGGCAATGACACAGGTCAAACGTTTTCTGTAAGTCTTCACAAGGTTTTCACACACTGTTGCTGGTATTTTGGCCCATTCCTCCATGCAGATCTCCTCTAGAGCAATGATGTTTTGGGGCTGTCGCTGGGCAACACGGACTTTCAACTCCCTCCAAAGATTTTCTATGGGGTTGAGATCTGGAGACTGGCTAGGCCACTCCAGGATCTTGAAATGCTTCTTACGAAGCCACTCCTTCGTTGCCCGGGCGGTGTGTTTGGGATCATTGTCATGCTGAAAGACCCAGCCACGTTTCATCTTCAATGCCCTTGCTGATGGAAGGGGGTTTTCACTCAAAATCTCACGATACATGGCCCCATTCATTCTTTCCTTTACACGGATCAGTCGTCCTGGTCCCTTTGCAGAAAAACAGCCCCAAAGCATGATGTTTCCACCCCCATGCTTCACAGTAGGTATGGTGTTCTTTGGATGCAACTCAGCATTCTTTGTCCTCCAAACACGACGAGTTGAGTTTTTACCAAAAAGTTATATTTTGGTTTCATCTGACCATATGACATTCTCCCAATCCTCTTCTGGATCATCCAAATGCACTCTAGCAAACTTCAGACGGGCCTGGACATGTACTGGCTTAAGCAGGGGGCACTGCAGGATTTGAGTCCCTGGCGGCGTAGTGTGTTACTGATGGTAGGCTTTGTTACTTTGGTCCCAGCTCTCTGCAGGTCATTCACTAGGTCCCCCCGTGTGGTTCTGGGATTTTTGCTCACCGTTTTTGTGATCATTTTGACCCCACGGGGTGAGATCTTGCGTGGAGCCCCGAATCGAGGGAGATTATCAGTGGTCTTGTATGTCTTCCATTTCCTAATAATTGCTCCCACAGTTGATTTCTTCAAACCAAGCTGCTTACCTATTGCAGATTCAGTCTTCCCAGCCTGGTGCAGGTCTACAATTTTGTTTCTGGTGTCCTTTGACAGCTCTTTGGTCTTGGCCATAGTGGAGTTTGGAGTGTGACTGTTTGAGGTTGTGGACAGGTGTCTTTTATACTGATAACAAGTTCAAACAGGTGCCATTAATACAGGTAACGAGTGGAGGACAGAGGAGCCTCTTAAAGAAGAAGTTACAGGTCTGTGAGAGCCAGAAATCTTGCTTGTTTGTAGGTGACCAAATACTTATTTTCCACCATAATTTGCAAATAAATTCATTAAAAATCCTACAATGTGATTTTCTGGATTTCTTTTTCTCAATTTGTCTGTCATAGTTGACGTGTACCTATGATGAAAATTACAGGCCTCTCTCATCTTTTTAAGTGGGAGAACTTGCACAATTGGTGGCTGACTAAATACTTTTTTTCCCGACTGTACATAGCATTCACACTGATATAGGCCTACTGTAGGCCTAAAATGCATTATGTCTGAGCCATGGACTTGCCAAACGGTGTCAATGATCAAGATTCAATTCACTATTCATAAGATCTAAAAAGACACTGAATAATTCTAATCCAAGTCTAAAAAAATAAAACTTGTTTTAAATTATCTAAATACAGTTACAGGCACCATAATTGCTCCCTGTTGGCATATAATATTAGGCCTAAGACAACATAGACTATGGAGGGTTTTGCGCACATCCAAACTGTTCACAGGAGCTGGAAAAAGATCCAATATAAAGAGAAAGTGGAAATGGAAATGTCTACTTAAGCAATAAGGCATGAGGGTGTGTGGTAAACACACACCCTCATGAGTGAGCTCGCTCTCGCTTCGTGTCTTCCTCTCTGCTGAAACCATATCACCGGAGAAAGCATCCAAGCGAGCGAAACAGTGCCCCTTCTATGGTCGTGTCTACACTTGACACTTACAGTGCCTTGCAAAAGTATTCATCCCCCTTGGCATTTTTCCTATTTTGTTGCATTACAATCTGTACTTTAAATTGATTTTTATTTGGATTTCATGTAATGGACATACACAAAATAGTCCAAATTGGTGAAGTGAAATGAAAAAAAGAACTTGTTTCCACAAATTATACAAAATAAATCACGGAAAAGTGGTGCGTGCATATGTATTCACCCCCTTTGCTATGAAGCCCCTAAATAAGATCTGGTGCATCCAATTACCTTCAGAAGTCACATAGTTAGTTAAATAAAGTCCACCTGTGTGCATTCTAAGTGTCACATGATCTCATTATATATACACCTGTTCTGAAAGGCCCCAGAGTCTGCAACACCACTAAGCAAGGGGCACCACCAAGCAAGCGGCACCATGAAGACCAAGGAGCTCTCCAAACAGGTCAGGGACATATTTGTGGAGAAGTACAGATCAGGGTTGGGTTATAAAAAAAGATCAGAAACTTTGAACATCCCAGGGAGCACCATTAAATCCATTATAAAAAATGGAAAGAATATGGCACCACAACAAACCTGCCAAGAGAGGGCCGCCCACCAAAACTCACGGACCAGGCAAGGAGGGCATTAATCAGAGAGGCAAAAAAGAGACCAAAGATTACCCTGAAGGAGCTGCAAAGCTCCACAGTGGATATTGTAGTATCTGTCCATAGGACCACTTTAAGCCGTACACTCCACAGAGCTGGGCTTTATGGAAGAGTGGCCAGAAAAAAGCCATTGTTTAAAGGAAAAAATAAGCAAACACGTTTGGTGTTCGCCAAAAGGCATGTGGGAGACTCCCCAAACATATGGAAGAAGGTACTCTGGTCAGATGAGACTGAAATTGAGCTTTTTGGCCATCAAGGAAAACGCTATGTCTGGGGCAAACCCAACACTTCTCATCACCCTGAGAACACCATCCCCACAGTGAAGCATGGTGGTGGCAGCATCATGCTGTGGGGATATTTTTCATCGGCAGGGACTGGGAAACTGGTCAGAATTGAAGGAATGATGGATGGAGCTAAATACAGGGAAATTATTGAGGGAAACCTGTTTCAGTCCTCCATAGATTTGAGACTGGGACGGAGGTTCACCTTCCAGCAGGACAATGACCCTAAGCATACTGCTAAAGCAACACTCAAATGGTTTAAGGGGAAACATTTAAATGTCTTGGAATGGCCTAGTCAAAGCCCAGACCTCAATCCAATTGAGAATCTGTGGTATGACTTAAAGATTGCTGTACACCAGCGGAACCCATCCAACTTGAAGGAGCTGGAGCGGTTTTGCCTTGAAGAATGGGCAAAAATCCCAGTGGCTAGATGTGCCAAGCTTATAGAGACATACCCCAAGAGACTTGCAGCTGTAATTGCTGCAAAAGGTGGCTCTACAAAGTATTGACTTTGGGGGGGTGAATAGTTATGCACGCTCAAGTTTTCTGTTTTTTTGTCTTATTTCTTGTTTGTTTCACCCCAAAAAATATTTTGCATCTTCAAATTTGTAGGCATCTTGTGTAAATCAAATGATACAAACCCCCCAAAAATATATTTTACTTCCAGGTTGTAAGGCAACAAAATAGGAAAAATACCAAAGGGGGTGAATACTTTCGCAAGCCACTGTACATGCGACTTCTGATATCAGAATACGAAGATCGCATTGAAAAGACGAGTCTAGACGCACAAAAGTTGCTTTGTTGTCTGATTGTGTTCAGATCTGGCTGACCACTTCAGGAGGTGGTCAGGGATACATTGTGTGCGTCCTCAGTCTGGACGCAATCAGGCTACTGAAAGCGCATAACTACAATGGGCGACATCATTAGCACTTCTCCCACAAGTCTCCATAAAACGTGTGTTTTGGGACTGAGAGACACCTTTTCATTATGACATTGGAGGAAATACATTCCTAGCGTGTGAGGAACGTATTTGCTGGACTCATAAATGCTAGCCAGCTAGCTAATACAGAGGTTAGCTGGCTAGTTAGCTACAGTAGTTAGTTACTGCCATCAGTAGTTGTTGGTGTTGTGTTATAAGTATCCCTCTAGGCTGGGTAAAGTCCTATTTATCAGGTAGGGAGCAAGTAGTAGATGTTAATGGTTCACTGTCTCAGGCAAAAGCAATGAGATGTGGCATTCCGCAGGGGAGCGTGCTTGGGCCTCTACTGTTTTTACTGTATATTAATTATATGAAAGATGCTTTTTCTTGCCGTGTTTTCCTTTATGCGGATGACTCTACACTTCTGGTGTCTCACAAAAGTAAAACTATGTTGGAGAGCATACTTAGCATAGAGCTTACTAACATTAGCAAATAGCTTGGCGATAATAAGCTATCTCTGCACTTAGGTAAAACTGAGGCAATTATTTTTGGGTCCAGACCTAAATTGAGTAGGTCCTCTGAAATCAGAGTGGAGTTATGGGGTGAGGTGCTGACTACTGAAACCTCTGTTAGCTACCTGCAGGGTTGGGTAGGTTACATTCTAAATGTAATCCGTTAGTTACTAGTTACCTGTCCAAAATTGTAATCAGTAACGTAACTTTTGGATTACCTGAACTCAGTAACGTAATCAAATTACTTTTAGATTACTTTCCCCTTAAAAGGCATTAGAAGAAGACAAAAATAAATATTTCCAATTGAATGGCATCTATTGCAGGATAAATCAATGTTAGAGTTTACATAGTTGGCCATAAATGGATGTTGCATTTTACTTGATGAGTTGGTTATGTAGCTTTCTTCTAACCAATTGCTTTCTACTACAGATAATAAGACCATTAGGCTATATTTGATTTTGTTTTATTAGGATCCCCATTAGCCGATGCCAATGGCGACAGCTAGTCTTACTGGGGTCCGACACATAACGAAAAATACATTACAGACAAAATACTTTACAATTTACATACATTTAAAAACATTAACATGTAGTGTGTGTGTGTGCATCTATCAGTTACACATACATGTCAGTACATACACACAACAAGTAGGTAATATGGGGGAGAGGCGTTGTGCCATGAGGTGTTGCTTTATTTGTTTTTTTAAACCAGGTTTGCTGTTCACAGGTTTGCTGTTCACTCACAATCATGGCTCTGTGTAATGCTGTATGTTTCCTTGAATTTGTTCTGGACCTGGGGACTGTGAACAGACCCCTGGTGGCATGTCTGGTGGGGTAAGTGTGTGTGTCAGTGCTATATGTAAGTTGACTATGCAAACAATTTTGAATTTCTAACACATTAATGTTTCTTATAAAAACAGGAATTGATGCAGTCAGTCTTTCCCCAGCTCTTAGCCAAGAGAGACTGGGATGCATAGCATTGATATTAGCCCTCTGATTACAATGAAGAGCAAAATGTGCCACTCTGTTCTGGGCCAGCTGCAGCTTAACTAGGTCCTTTGCAGCACTTGACCATATGACTGGACAATAATCAAGATAAGATCAAACTAGAGCCTGCAGGACTTGCTTTGTGGAGTGTGGTGTCAAAAAAGCAGAGCATCTCTTTATCACAGACAGACTTACAACAATTCAATATTTTTTGACCATGACAGTTTAGAATCTAAGGTAACAACAAGTAATTTAGTCTCCTCAACTTGTTCAACAGCCACACCATTCATTTCCAGATTCAGCTGAGGTCTAGAACTTAGAAAATGACTTGTACCATATACAATGCTCTTAATTTTAGAGATGTTCAGGACCAGTTTAGTACTGGCCACCCATTCTAAAACTGACTGCAACTCTTTGTTTAGGGTTGCAGTGATTTCACTAGCTGTGGTTGCTGACGCGTATAGGGTTGAATCATTAGCTTACATGGACACACAGGCTGAAATCTAACAGTACAGCTCCCACAATCTTCTTATTATGAATTTATTTCAACCAATCATCAGTTAATTGTGTCAGTGTAGTACATGTTGAGTGCCCTTCTCTATAAGCATGCTGAAAGTCTGTTGTTAATTTGTTTATAGATAAATAGCATTGTATTTAAATGACACTGGCTTCCCTCTAGGCCTGAGGGCAAACACTATCTTTACATTAAAAACCAAAGTCTGTCAGATTTCCAGTCATTCCAATTAATTTAATACCCCTTGATCTTCAAGAATAGGACTTGGAAATGTGGAAATATAGATTCGCCAAATTGTTTTACCTGAGCATAACCCAAAAACGAAGGACTTATTAGCCTACTCTGTTGTTTATGCTGCTCTCATGGAATGGCAAGCTTGAGCACTACACTCTTAGAAAAAAAGAGTTCCAAAAGGGTTCTTCGGCTGTCCCCATAGGAGAACCCTTTTTGGTTCCAGGAAGAACCCTTTTTGGTTCCAGGTAGAACCCTTTTTGGTTCCAGGTAGAACCCTTTTTGGGTTCCATATATGAACCCTCTGTGGAAAGGGTACTACATTGAACCCAAAAGGGTTCTACCTGCAACCAAAAGGGTTCTACCTGGAACAAAAAAGGGTTCTCCAAAGGGTTCTCATATGGGGACAGCTGAAGACTTTTAGGTTCTACATAGCACCTTTTTTTTTCTAAGAGTGTACTGAAAAGTGCTAAATGTGAAAAGATTAATGTCATATTCTGCATTTACTATAGGCCTATTGTTGATGTTTTTGTTGGTGACACTTAGATATCTCAATAAGCTGTTTTAAGTCTAGCAAAAGTGTGTGAGTTTGAGCATGTGTCCATTAGGCCTTTGGATTTTTCTTTTTTTTTCAGCATGAATGAGGTTGAGCAAAAAAAGCCCCACTCGTGGTTTTCTTAAATAAACTCGTTTTTGACAATATGGAGGACAAAACCACTGAGGAGTTTAGAAGGGAGGAACTCCCTCAAACTTTTGTTCTATAGGCTGGGATCTATACTATGCAGCTGCTGCAAGAGTGCATTTTTCATTGGTTGTCCACAGGTCGCAAAAACAATGATAGGCAGTTATTAATAAATTAATAAACGAAACTATCGTATTTTGCCTATTTCACCACTTGTAGAATGCATACTGGCATTTTAATATAGCCCAGGAAAAGGGAATCCGGACACACTGTGGACACGGTAGACACATTTAAATGTAGGTGTAGACGCATGACGCGTTCGGAATTCCATGAACAGAACTCTATGATCAGAATACTAAAGCTGCGTGAACTGTCAAGTCTAGACACGGCCTATATGTAGCAAATGTATCTGACGCTGTCTGGACAGAAATAGTATGACATGCCATACTCTTTTGGTCCAGACAGCATCAAATACATGGTCTCCACATACTGAGACAGAGGGGCGCTGTTTCACTCGCTTGGACGCTTTAACTGAGATTGATGCATCTTTCTGTCCGTGCATGTCTCGGTCAAATAAATGATCAATATTTCAATGTTTTATTTGTATGGGCAAGGAGGTATGGTAGGGCGGGCCAGGCCCCCTAAGGCCCGCCCATAACGCCGGCCCTGCCAGTGGCACTGACTGAAATTGGTATATTGGTGCAAGTTTTTAAGCACACACCTCAAATATTGACACCCCTCCCACCACAGAGCAAGTGAGCTGATGTTAGACAGGTAAATTGCTGAACCTGGCGTAAGGGGTGGAAAATGCTAGTGCGGCAGTTTTTACATGACGAAATTGCAAACTAATGTGCGTTTGACACTTGTGTGTTTTCTTATTCTGGGTGTGTTTTTTGTGTTATACCCATGACAGATTGTCCTACCTGTGTATAATGAATACATTTAATTAATTCCATTAAAAAAATAAGATAATTGGTGATATAAGTCATGACTCACCCCATCTGTCTATGCTGGCTTGTTTTGTTCCTATCTCCCTCTCTATGCCCATTCAGATTGACATCCTGATTAACAATGGTGGCCGCAGCCAGCGTTCTCTGTGCCTGGAGACCGGTGTGGATGTGTACCAGGCCCTGATGAAACACACCTTCCTGGGCACAGTGTTATTCACCAAGCAGGTGTTGCCCCACATGATGCAACGAGGGTCATGCAGTGTGGTCGGCCTAGCTGCAGCACCACTGGCAACCGGATACTCTGCCAGTAAACATGCTCTTCAGGTGAGATCAATCATGGGCTGCCCTCTGCCCGTTTGTAGATGTACACCATCTAGACACATACATTGAGTGAGACATGAGATAAATCTCTTCTGTCCACAGGGCTTCTTCAATTCTCTTCGCTCAGAGCTGACTTCCTAAGGAGAGTCATCAGCACAGAATGTCCAGGGCCTGAACAGTCACAGATAGTCCAGTCTTTCAAATAATAGTCATTCAAGTGAACATGCATTTTTGTAAAAGTGTTGACATTAATTTCCTTCTTATCCCTTTCCTATCTAAGGCCATTCCCACTGCTGGGGACCAGCAACACAAGATATCCACTAGTCGTTGTGTGTGTCTCATCCTGGTGGGTATAACCGATGGCGCCAAGGAGATGTGGATCGCCCGGCAGACCTTTCTGCTGTTCTACTATGTGTGGCAGTATGCTCCCACCTGGGCCTGGTTCATCACTGACATCCTGGGCAGGAAGAGGGTGCAGAACTTCTAGACTGGCCTGGTTTGTATTGGTTTCTTGTAGGTCTCTCAACAGGTCGCTTAGAAATGTGGTTTGTGAGTCACAAACTATACATTTTTTGTCTTGCCTATAGAATAATCATAACTCAGAGCATTACATAGAGGAACAGCACTCTGACAGAATGGGTTAATCACACTAGGCATTGTTCATGCATGGGCTTGCTGTCACATTCTCTAAGGTGTACCTTGCCTCTCCAGGCCATGGATAGGGGGACTTTGTGTGAACAGTCTGAAAATACTTCAGGAAAGCAGAGTGTGGCAGACACTATTTAGAGCTGTCTCTTAACAGCTGGGGGGCTCAGCTGTTACTGACCTTGCTTCAGTCTGATAAAGAGAAGGGGGTGGGCACTGACCAGGGTATAGCAGTCAGCATGACTGCTTCCCAGCGGCAGTAACTGACTTACTGACCACTACGTCTGGTGGCCTCTGCCAGACAGTGACAGCTGAGGGCCATGCAGAAAGGTCATGTTCTGACTGACCAGACATTTTAGTGTCAGGGTTTGGATGGACAATGTCACCCTTTGGTTCAGTTGTGTTGGAGGAAAGCTCAAGAGGGGTATGTCTATAAGAATAAGATAGGAAGAAAATGCACACTGTCGAATGTGTCATTAAACATTCCACAAAGACAACTTAATTAACAAGTGTGCAGATGCTGTCTAATATTCTATCTAAAGCCTCAACTTGTTTCTTGATTGACAGTGAAGTATCTTCCCAGAATATAAAATGCTGTGGCTATATGCGTTTAAAAATCAGAAAAACGACTTTAAAATTAAGCTCTCGCTTACAGGAAGCAGACTCTGCTTACTTCACAAACCCCAAGACTTCCTGAAAGGCACATTTTGAAGAGGATTTTGTTTCATTCCAAATGCTTGAGCTCCACATTGAAATGGGTTAATTGCCTCCAGAGGTTCAAGTCTTCTGTTTAGCTGAAAGGAAAAGGTTTTAGGAAGTTTTAAAAGGCTGGCAGCGCTCTTTACAAGGCAGAAGAATAGAGTGGAAAAAGAAACACTAGCTTCCTGTCACCTCTAAAATTAAATTACTATCTCAGAATTGCAGGAGGAACTTGAAATTGTAATTAATCATAGATATATTTTTTGGAAGGTCGAGTATCATTAAGTAATGCACTGACCACAAATCTGTAATGAATGTCTATAGCACTGACAAATCTCCAGTAAACAACAGACTATCAGGTTTCTTTGGGGGAAAAAATGCTATTTTAAGTATATACAATTACACACCATACACAAATCACAGTATACGAAAACAGTATGTACAGAAGAACATGACAAATACAATTTTGTCTTAAACTGTAAACAATTGAACTGTAAACAAAAGGATGCCATCAAAAATTACTAACCACATTACAAAGACTGCAAAGTCCTACCCAAGGCACATCCTTGAAAAAACGAAATCTTTGTCCCTTTTTGCCTTTGGGAGCATTACATAACAGTATTTGAGGGAAAACATTTGCAAGATAAGTTTATCATGTAATTGGGAGCACTGTGTTGGCGGTCCTCTTCTGGGGGAGGTGGTTGTATCTGATCACATTAAGTATTTTACATTTACATTTTTAGTCATTTAGCAGACGCTCTTATCCAGAGCGACTTATAGTTAGTGACGGCATACATTATTAGATTTTTCATACTGGCCCCCCGTGGGAATCGAACCCACAACCCTGGCGTTGCAAACGCCATGCTCTACCAAATGAGCTACATCCCTGCCGGCCATTCCCTCCCCTACCCTGGACGACGCTGGGCCAATTGTGCGCCGCCCCATGGGTCTCAAGTACAAGTCTCAAGTACAAGCGATAAGTTAGATAAAAACAAACTACAAAAAACATTTGCAACTACAGTACAAAAAGAAAACATTTCATTGACAAGTGATACAACTCTTTGTTCCAGAGTATGTGAATGATTAAAAAACTATTCTGAACAAACGTGTCCCTTGTAAATATATTTATTTCCCAGAACACTTACATTTCATTGTTTGAACTAGTACCACACATTTGGTAATTCATACAAGAAAACTGGCGTAAAATTTTTGGACATAAGTATGAATGAAACCATTTGTTTGGATCTGCCTTATATGTGCCCTCCTAGGATACCCTCTAGTGAAATAGACAGGTTACACATACAGGCCACAACATTGGGCCTACCCAGTGATAAAGCTGGGCAAACCAGAGACAGGGTGTTTATAGGGGGCCAGCAGAGGAGTCTGAAGGTCCCAGGGAGAGGAGAAGGGTTGGGTGTTAGAAGCAGGGGAGGTGCAGGGGGACAGAGGAGTAGATTGGGTACCCCAGAGGGGGGTCGGCTGCCTGGACAGTGAGGTTCCTCAGCATGATGGGGTGGGCCTGGATGCTGTAGCGCTCCTCGTCATCGTTGGTGGCGTAGAGCAGCTCCCAGGACAGGTTAGCCCACTGGCCACGCACCCCCTCCCCGTTCAGACGGCCTACCTGAACCAGCTGCTCCTGCAGGGACAGAACCCGCCCTGTGTAAGTGCCCTGTGGAGAGAGGAGACAGGCAGGTAGGGGTCACTTACTGTACTGACCACTGCCAAAGACAGGACCACTTAATACACGCTACCAACAAAGACCAAGTTTATGGCTAATCCAAAGAACAGGTGTTTGTTAGGTTACCATAGTGAGCTACTTAGTAACAAGAAAAACACTGAGGCGTAGTGTGGTGAGTAAGGTTACCATGGTGAGGTCATGGCCCAGCGAGAAGAGGAAGGGTTTCTCCTGTAGGACACCGTCCTGCCAGCCTCTCTCAGCCACCAGGCCGATGTACCAGTCCCTCTCATACTCCTCCAGGGTGCTGAACAGCTCCTCAAGACTCTCCATGGGCCCCAGACTCGCCTGATCAAACAGCAGCTTGAAACTGTACCTGAAAACAAATAGATCAGGAGTTACAGGGACAGGCTTTGGATATAAACATTGAATATGTATAACACACATCCAGTATACAAGTTTTAGATTCTCTAAATTGGGTACAAACTATACCCATGTTTCACCCCTGCCATCTTTACCTGAAAGCCTTAAGTGCAAGCTGGTAAAGTTCTTTGTTTTCAGAGAGCCACTTCAGACCCTCTGTCCAAGGCACGTCCCCACAGTAGACCCTGTAGACATAGCTGGGGCTGGTGAAGGCAGACTCTGCCCCCAGGGAGATGAGGCATGACAGGGCCACCTGGGCATGGAGGTCCCTCAGCCCCCCATCCTCCTTCAGGGCTTTCGCCACATCCTCCGAAGCCTCGTCCTGAACGGCCAGCGCCAACCTTCCCAAAGTGAACCGAAACCATTCCTCAGGGAACAAAGGCCTGAGCTGCTGCAACCGGGATGGTAACAAGGGGGCTGTCCTCCACCCAGAGGGCAGGCTGAACAGCTCAGAGTGGGGGCAGCTGAAGCTTTCATGGACTAAGGTGCCGGAGGACTCTGTGGGGGGGACTTCAGGGTTCCTGCCTTTGTCCACAGCTGGCAGACCCAGACCCAAACCCAGAGGCTGCAAGGGCTGAAGGGCCATGTTCTCAAACAGACTGTCCATCTCCACAGAGCCTGGCAGTGAGGGCCCTGTCTGGAGCACTGTGTGTCCTAGCTGGGCCTCCGTACTCACCAATGCCACTGTCCGCCTGGCTGGCTGAGGCCCAAACAGGTCATCATCATCTGACCAGTCACCGAAGGAGGTCAAACTGGAGCTGTCCCGTCTAAACCTGAGAGAGGAGATGTTGGACTCCACCATGACAGCCTCTGCAGGCTGGGTGACAGTCGATTGGCCAAGCTGAGGGGACTGGGACTTCCTGCCCCCGCCCCCTGTCCCCTCGTCAGTGCCCCAGGGGAAGGCCTTTCGTCTCTGGACACAGTTCCTCAGCAGCAGCCACACCAGGGCCTTCAGGAAGTCATCCTGGAGCTTCCTCAGGTTGTCATGCGAGTCAATGATGCCCGAAAGCACATTGCGGGCGTCGGAGTAGACGCGCACAGGCAGGGCAGCACATGGGGTGAGGGCGTTACCCCAGTGCAGGTTTATCCCCTGGTTGAGGCCAAGCCGCTCAGGGCGCTCAAAGGCCCCCTCAAACACCTCATCCACCCTCCGAGCCTCCACCGTGTGGCACGAGGTCTCCTGCAGCTCCAGACCCTGAAACAAAACAACCGTCAAATCTGTTGTCTATACTGCATGTTCACCACAAATTTGTGATTCAAACAAATAACAACCATTAAAAGAACCAGTACCTTGATGTTGACAGTACAGTAGCCATATCCTCTCTCTAAGATCATGATCCAAACCACACGGTCCTGGAAGCGACCCAGGAAGTGGGAGCCAGGAGTCAGAGCACCTTACGAGGGGAAGAAAGAAAACAAGCTTAGGCCTATCAGCTTCTTCATACACTTACCCCCAGCCAAGCTTTTTGACAAGGCTGATTCTCTATTCATAGCATATTCTCATCGCAGCCTTTGAGTGGTGTTAGATTTGGACTCAGTCATCCCAGTGGTCATTTATTATTATAGGACATGCAGTCAGAGAGATGATGTCCTCTGTGGTCTGGAGATGATAAAGCTTGGAGTACATACAACATATACATAGACAAGTGCCCCCTGGTCACACAGCTCTTTCATTTTGCATCAGTAGTGAGTCTCTCGGCTGGCTTGACTGGATAACTTGGCTGCCGGATGAGCTGCAGGTTGACGCTTACCATTTCAGTTGTACAGAAAGGTCATGATACAGTTTAAACCGCCTGACTGCACAGAGATCTAAATATTGAATTTCTTCTCTGCCCTGGACTTTCCATTAGTCTCTAAATATTAATTATTCTTATGGGAGTAGACTTTGTATGAGGGGGCCTTTCATTTTTGGTTAACAGAGGGGAGAGAGGACAGACGTTTTGGTAGTGGCAGAGCGATGTTTGATTTTGTTTCAAGTTTGACTAGTGTTCTCATTGCTCAAGGATAATGTCATATCCCATAGCGATGTCTCGGAATAGTCACAGATGCCACCCCGTGATGGGAAGTGACACCTTGTGCGTTCTCCGCTCCCGCTCACTGATGCACGGCCCCCAATGTCACAGAGGGGGCAAAGGAAAAAAGAGAACACTACACTCCAAACCCTCCTCTTTCTACTGTGTGTATCAAGACCAAACAAGCACTTAGCCTAAATGATACATCACAGCTCAGGCACCCCCAGCTAGCCAAGAACACAATAAGATAGAGTGATGACATCACTGTAGCAGTCTGTCTGTTTTGAGTCGTCAACCCATAAATAATGAAGCTTGTACTTGCTCTGTTTTTTCCTTGCCCCCTTCCTGACAGCAAATAGAGCACTGAACAACATTTTAGAAGCGGCTCCGGTTGGGTTAAGAGTATTACGAGGTTAATGGTGTGGAAACATTTGGATGTAATGAACACAGATCAGTGTGGTCCTCTGTAGCTCAGCTGGTAGAGCACGGCGCTTGTAACGCCAAGGTAGTGGGTTCGATCCCCAGGACCACCCATACACAAAAATGTATGCATGCATGACTGTAAGTCGCTTTGGATAAAAGCGTCTGCTAAATGGCATATTATTATTATTATTATCAGAGTGAATTTGTTCAGATCACTTCACAGGAAGCACAACTGGATCCTGCAAGCTTGCATTATAGCGGGCGGCTCTACTGAGCGACTCACAACAACATTCCTCTTAATATGAAACCATAAGAGGCTTCCCCCATCCGGCTATTTCAGTCCCTGCTCGACTGATTTAAAAGTTGAGCTCTATTAACACCTTGAGAACATATGCTCAACACCTAATGCATTATCTCAATTAAATGATCTAGGCTCTTTACTGTGAAATGTATACTATCAGTAACATGGAAAATAGTATACATTTCACAATAAAGAGCCTAGGTCAATTTATTGAGATACTGCATTAGGTGTTGAGCATGTTTTCAGTTGACTCTTTTACCCTATTGTTGGGAAAATAAGACATTCATTTTCCAACCACTAGCAGTAACAACAGAACACCATTTCAAATACTTTTTGTTTCCACCAAGATTGTTTTTTTCCCCTGTTTTATTTTTACAATGGCATACATTTAATCAATATAAGCTACATTATTTTCACACAAACAAAGCGATGTCTATAAATAATTAAACAGTTATATCAAAGCACTTTAACTACACCAATGAATGGGAAAAATATTTAAGAAGAAAAACAGATAGAGAGGGAGAAAACTAAAGAATGAGACCCACTAACCAAGTGATCCCCTGGCGAAGGCGCTCCTCAGAGCACAGGCCAGGCTCCCACTAATCTGCTGGTAGTAGATGGAGTCTGGACAGGGGCAGGCGGTGCCCACGGGCCCAGGCCAACTGCGCTGAGGCCTGGGGAAGCCCACCAGGAAGATGGGCAGGGTGAAGAGGGGCAGCAAAGGAGCAGAGAGCATGGCTGACAGTACCACCACAGAGAGCAGCAGAGGACACAGGGAGGCGTTCAGGGCCAGGAGGGTCCCGGCCGACTGGCGGCGCTGTTTCTTCTCTGTCCAGGAGGTCACCAGCACAGCCAGGGCAAACTTCAGCTTGGACAGGAACTGGAGCAGCCTATCACTCAGCAGGCCCACCTCGGTAGGGCAAAGAGGGACATAAAGAGTGTGATTGAACCAGGACTCAGTAGTATTGCTTTGATTTTTGTTTTCAGTGGAGAAAAACATTCTGGGCAAAAACAACAACTAGACAATGAATCAATGACTAAAGCATTACATAATGTTTAACCTGTGATCTGACTAAATGTCATGCCTCATTAGCTCTATGCCAGAAGTCATGTAATGTGTTGTTACCAGAAGGAGCTGGACCCCTGTGCCCAGGCTGTCCCACCCAGGAAGTCTGGTATCCCCTGCAGCCAGCCTCACTGACACCACCACCACCATCTGGAGCAGGGCATCCTCAGAGCTCTGCCACACCTGCACAACACAGAGACCCACGACTCAATCATCATGACCTAAATCATATTAATAACATAGTCTGAGGATTAATGGTCATGATGAGGTCACTGGAGAGAAAATCTCTCATTGATAAACATGCTTAGGTTATACATAAGATAATCCATGTGTACCACTCTGAAGGCCCGGGTGAATCCCACGCTGAGAGAGGCTGTGTGGAGCTGCTGAACAGAGCCATCCAGAGCCAGGAAAGCAATCATTGCAAAGGGAGACACTGCAAAGTAAAACAAAGTGTAATAAGATGAATGTATAGTTTTATAGTAATAACAAAGCAATGCTCTATATTAAAATATGAGCTCACCCAGATTGAGCAGCACCCTCCTGATGGCCCCAGCCACGTGGAGACCCCTGCTTCGCTGCTTGAACACCCGGACATTGGCCATTCCTCTTGGGTACAGGGGGTTGAGGAACACTCCTCCAAAAACATAGGTTCCCTGGATCTCTCGGAGAGCCCAGCAGACGATGAAGAGGACGATGAGGAGGTAGCTGACAGCAGCTTGAGAACCCCATGCCAGGTTCTGGGGCTGGGAGGGACTGAGGAAGTGATGTAAGAGCCCTGCCTCAGTCATGGCCCCCAGCAGCAGCCCCAGGTAGAGCAACAGCTCACTGCAGCCCAGCCGCCAGCTGGGAGGGGCAGGTGATGCCCCCCTACGCCATCCACTGTCACCATGGGCTCCCCTGGACCCTCCTCCACAATATGTCCCAAACTGGCTGAGATCCAAACTAAGCAGAAACCCCATGGCCATCAAGAAGAGGACCACACCCAAGGTGGATGGGATGAAGAAGGTACAAACAGGGACACATACAGACATGGCGAACATCCCCAGCAATCTGTAGGAAGGACAGAGAGCACACAGAGTCAGAGAAGAGCTGATCAAGCTCAACCAGGCCAAGGAAACAGGCATATGGTAAAGAGCTCAGGGAACTAAATCAGTGACAAGTATAATCAGATTGAACTACATGTTGACAAACTAAATGTTGACAAAAAACAACTGATGTAGTAAGGAAAATATACCTAAGGTTACTGGACATGGGAGAGCCGCCCAAACCGAACACCAGAGCTTGTTCCATGCCCCAAAGGAGGAGGGCGTCCAGTGGTGAAAGCGTACCCAGCGCCCACAGCAGAGGTAGGACCAGGAACACCACATGAAGCACCTGACTGGTTAGCTGGAGCTCTGGCACTGGACCTGTAAATCTGGAAGCAAAAAAAGAAGCAAAGAGTCACAAAATGTAATCAATCATCTCCTCTGAAAATGTATCCATAACTAGTTTCAAAATAGTCAGAGGCCAATTTAGTTATTTCTATCTTACCGATCAGCTAGGTCCACAGCTATGAAAGTTAATATGTAGAGTGGTCGGGTGAGTGGGGTGATCTCATAGGTGTCCTGTGCCTGGAATGTGGCCGTCTCTGTGGCCGTGTTGACGATAAGGGAGTACTCCGCTGTACACAGAGTCACCCAGCTCAGGACAAAGACCACCAAGGCTACACCCACACTGCCATAGAGTGCAGTCAACCTGCCAAGGAGCACATACCATGTCCCCAGGCCACAGATGGCCCCCGCCAGCACGGTGTGGAGCACCACGTTCAGCCCAAACCTCTTCCCCGGGGCGATGAACCTCACCGTCTCTGGGCCTACACAGTGGGTGAACTCCACCTCCTCCTCATCAGCCAGGATGTTGGGCACTCCCAGCCGCTCCACCATGCCATTCCTGCGGGTAGCGTATAGTGCCAGGGCCTGGACACCCACTGCTGCCCCAAGCATGAGCAGACCAGAGAGCATGGCAGCGTGGAGATCCTCCAGCAGCTGCAGCTGGCACAGCAGCGTGCCAATGCCACCTAACAGCCATGGTGTCAAGAACAAGACCACCTGGTTGACATAGACATAAGGCGGGGCGCAGTAGCCCAACTTAAAGCGCGGACCCCCCAGCACCGTCTGAGGGAAGCGCTTCCAGAAGAACTCCTGCTTGTATTCATTGAGCAGGGGCACATCTGGCCCCATCCTGACCATGCCCTAGGGGGGTGCAGGTCATCTCCCCGGAGCCGCAGTACACTTCCGTGTCATCCTATAGGACAAGATCAAGGAGGCAGCTTGAGTCATTTGTCTGCCACAAAAGGAATGCTGCAGGATATCATATTTACTCAATATAAAGGCAGCAGTTGAATAAACACCAGTGCCAGGTCAATTACTAAAATATTTATAAACAACGTAGAATACCATGCAAAAACTAATGTATTGTAAAAACCACAGAATTACAATGGTACAAACTCCCTCAACCTACCAAACATGGCTATGTATTGTTGTCAACAGGTTTGCTAGCTAAGTTTTCAACTGCTGACAAAGAGAGCTGGCTGCCTGGCTGTTACCAATACAAATTGATACAAGCTATCGCTACATTCATCTCTGGGGGGTGGCTAGCTAGCGAATGTCAGACATAAGGTTAGTGAATATTCCTTGAAATACGCAATAACATTAACTAGCTACCCTTGTAGCAGCCGATTAACGCTAGATGTCTAGATATAACTAGCAATGTTGCTAGCAAACTGTACAGTGCCTAGCTAGCTACTAGCTAGCTCACTAGGTAGTATGTTACTTAACGTTACCTATGAATAGAGAGAAGGGATATCCTTCGAATCAAACGGCTGTCTTATTAATCTTCGATAGTAAGTATGGCAATTTGTTTAGATTAAAAAAAAAAAAAAAAGATGTCTAAATGCGTCTTTCCCAGTGATAACCAATCATAGCTAGATAGTTAGCTGGCTAACAAAGCATAACCACAACAAGATGTGAGGGCGTGCGCTCCAACTAGGATAGGCGGGGTTTGCACTTTGCGACCAATTGGTGTACTGAGTAGGCGTAAAACAAAATCTGTCAAAATCCACCTATCCATCCTCTCCACCCATTCATATTTGCCTACAGTCATTGCTCCCACCCCACTCGACAGACAGACAGCCACACACACACCTATACCCATGACAAAACTCAAACAACAACCCTAACATCTGGCTGCATCAATTATATAAGCAGTATTCTCTAGCTAGTGTCTAGCCAACTGTTCAACGCACAGGAGGTTGGTGGCGCCTTAATTGGGGAGAACGGGCTCATAGTAATGGCTGGAGTGGAATAGCATTGTATCAAATACATCAAACACATGGTTTCAATGTCAGTAAAGCACTAATCACAGCAGATGTAGTTGTTATTGCCCTCAACACTTATTTAAAAGAGATAACTTGGGGTTAAACAGGATGGCAATGGCTTCATCTTATGAAAATCTTCCCTGATTAAATCAGCTTTCTTTCAGATGTCTAAAATGGTCATCAGTAAACAACAAGTCCTTTAGGTATAATGAGATGGAGGGGGTGGACCCCTTGTTTTTAGAGGGAAAATAGGACAAGACTAATACTAAATATATGTAAGAGTCAAATAAATAGCACAGATATAGTTGTTCAGGCAAAGTAAAAAACAAAGGGATTTACTACCTCAGAATGTTTTCCCTCAGGAACAATAAAAAGCACATCCATTGCTGTAATTAGAATGACATCAAATACATGGCTTCAGTCTACGCTTCTTATCCCAAGTAATTTATTTACCTTGGCACTTGCCAGTGTCTTTAATTCCTAGAGTTTATGTGCTCACCACAAAAGACTCAAAGGATTACTAATATTAATATTACATTTTAACTCCTTGTTATCATCGTTTAATACAAAAGAGCAAATCCTCAGCTCCTTTTGTTATTTTAATATAATGAAAGTGATTGTTGTTTATAGCTTGTCTGGCCCCTCCAGATGTTATCTTTTCTGTCAGGGGAAGAGAGGAAGGAGGAGGCCAAACAGGAGGATCATGGGGAGTCATCAAGATAAAACAATATATAATAATATATAAACACAAAGAAAGATCATCTGGAGCAAAGGAGATTACAATTGTTGTTGGCTAAGACTGAGGGGATGGGGTTGGACAGGAGGTTATGCTCTCATCATCTTGAAAAAAGCAATCTATGCCCCATGTAAGACACAATAAATGAAAAACCCCTCAGCAGTCATGACAACCCATATACACCCTGTAATCCTGCCACAGTGAAACTCAAATACACCCTTCATCCCCTTTTTGTCTTTTACATACAGTGCCTTCAGAAAGTATTCATACCCCTGGATTTATGCCACATTTTGTTGTATTACAGCCTGAATTGAAAATTGATTAAATTGTTGTTTTTTCTCATCAATCTACACACAATACCCCATAACAACAAAGTGAAAACATGTTTTTAGAATGTTTGCAAATGTATTGAAAATTAAATACAGAAATATCTAATTTACATAGGTATACACACTCGAGTTAATACTTTGTAGAAGCACCTTTGGCAGTGATTACAACTGTGAGTCTTTCTGGGTATGTCTCTAAGAGCTTTCCACACCTGGATTGTGCAACTTTTGCCCATTAATCTTTTCAGAATTCTTCAAGCTCTGTCAAATTGGTTGTTGATCATTGCTAGACAACCATTTTCAGGTCTTGCCATAGATTTTCATGTAGATTTCGCCTTGTGTTTTAGGTTATTTTCCTGCTGAAAGGTGACTTCATCTCCCAGTGTCTGGTGGAAAGCAGACTGAATCAGGTTTTCCTCTAGGATTTTGCCTGTGATTAGCTCCATTTAGTTTCTTTTTTATCCTGAAAAACTCCCGGTCCTTAACAATTACAAGCACACCCATAACATGATGCAGCCACCACTATGCTTGAAAATATGGAGAGTGGTACTAAGTAATGTGTTGTATTAGATTTGCCCCAAACATAACACTTTGTATTCAGGACAAAAAGTGAATTGCTTTGCCACATTTGTTGCAGTATTACCTTTGTGCCTTGTTGCAAACAGGATGCATGTTTTGGAATACTTTTATTCTGTACAAGCTTTCTTCTTTTCCCTCTGTCAATTAGGTTAGTATTGTGGAGTAACTACAATGTTGTTGATCCATCCTCAGTTCTCTCCTATCACAGCCATTAAACTCTGTAACTGTTTTAAAGTCACCATTGGCCTCATGGTGAAATCCCTGAGCAGTTTCCTTCCTCTCCGGCAACTGAGTTAGGAGGGACGCCTGTATCTTTGTAGAGACTGGGTGTATTGATACACCATCCAAAGTGTAATTAATAACTTCACCATGCTCAAAGGGATATTCAATGTCTGTTTTCTTTCTTCATTTTTACCCATCTACCAAAAGTTGCCCTTCTTTGTGAGGCATCAGAAAACCTCCCTGGTCTTTGTGGTTGAATTTGTGGTTCACTGCTCGACTGAGACACCTTACAGATAATTGTATGTGTGGGGTACAGAGATGAGGTAGTCAAGCAAACTGAATTTATTTAGGCTTGCCATAACAAAGGGGTTGAATACTTATTGACTCAACACTTTTCAGCTTTACATTTTTAATTAATGTATAAAAAATTGTAGTATAAAAAATAAAAAAAATAAAAAATAAAAAACAGAATAATGTATGGACTTACTGTAAGTCGCTCTGGATAAGAGCGTCTGCTAAATGACGTAAATGTAAATGTAAAAATGCTGGGAATTTGCAAGGACCACTGAGATAAAGCTATAGCATAATGCATACTGAACGCAGTGCATTCTGACTGTAGCCTACATTCATCTCACTCTGAGATCCCAAAGAAATACAGTACAGACACCTCAATGGAGCAGTAATGTATGGCTATGTTTGGGCTTGAGACTGGGTATGGTCAGGGGTTGGTTAAGGGTAGAGTTGCAAATGGTCACAGAATATTTGTGGAAATAAATATAGTGTTAATATGGATCCTTTTGCCTGTAAGCAACCAGTTGATGCAAATTATACTCTGTCATTGTAGTCACTACAAGCACATTTAAGTATGAGTTTGTAATCCAATGAATAATATATCAACTGAAAAAATAAATAATTTTGCTTTTTTCTTAGGATAAGAGCATGCTTCCTGAGTCGTTTATCCATGTAGAATCAGTGTATTTTCCCTTTCTATCTCATTTTCCCTCTCACTCTCTTCTTTACTGTCTGTTCTTTTTTGTTCCAGGGAGATAGACATGAAATTAATGGACTGACCGACCACAACAATAACACAATGACAGGTTTTTACAGAGGGCATTATGTCAAGATGGTCTCGCAATGGGGTATTTGCTTGTGGGGCTGTAAAACTGACTTGCAACATAATATGTACCTTTTGAAAGATAAATACAGTCAAATGTTGATGCTGCTGTATTGTGGAAACACACTTGGTTGCCATAGTAAAATACAATTTCATAATAAGCATTCAAGGAAACTGATTTGTGTTGCCATAATTGTAACCTCTACATCACATATTACACACAGCTTCGAAGTGTGTTATGAATGTGTAATATATTGTTCCTCATGACTTGGTCCCAGAATATTTTCCATTATAATGAATATAGGACTAGGCTATATCTTTCCAAAATCGTGGTATTTCTTCAACCTCTGGACACATTTGAGTTTTAATTGTGCTGTATAGTCTGTATTATTTGGTGATTGGGCTTAAACATCCATTAACGTGCTCAACCCTTTCACTTCACCCACAACCCCAACCCCCTGCACTGGAAACTGAGTAGATAGGACTAAAAATATGGTCCATTCAGCAATTATTCACAGAGTCTTGGGCTAATGGTACTCTGAATGCACAGACACAGCAGAATGTAGCGAGTCAGTGGACCGGCAGTAATGGCCCCATGTAGAGAGAGAGAGAGAGTGCGTGTGTGTGCAGCATGTGTGTGGGGTGAGGGTATAAAGCATAATCTCCAAGTGATTCACGACAAGTGCAAACATGTCTAATGATGAAGCTATACTATGGTTGCAGAGACTCACACTCACTCTTCCCTCCCTCTCCCCCCTCCCAGCCTAGGCTCCATATCAGGCAGAAGAAAACATAACCTGTCACATTCCATCCCATTAAACCAGCTATGAACCATGTGCTCTAGAGAAAGAGAGAGAGAGAGAGAAAAAGAGAGGGGAGAGAGAGTAGGAGAATAGAGAGAAGAGCACAGAGTGAGAGAGGAGATAGGATGGGGGGAGACGGCCAAGTGCATCTGGGCTCACCCAAGACTAATGCATTATTCACAATCTTTATGCTAATGTATTTTTTATGCAAAAAATACGGACAGATATATCCAAGGGACAAACATACTGTAGGAAGGACTTTACTTAGTGCATATCTAGACCTATGTACATACTGTACATACAAACCAATGCAAACATTTACACATATCACATATCCACACATACTGTACTTAAATGAGTCATGTGTAATTATCCATTGGAATATCTAATGCATTAGAGAACTCTCATCAAGCCCCAAATCTGTGCATTACTGTGCTTTTCAGTGAGGGCCCATCAGCTGCCATTTGATGTCAAGCAAAGCAAGGTAATGACAGTGCACTTACTCACTCAGTCATTAGCCCTGCTTAATGCTGGGAGTTAACACAAATTAAGTGAAGTTAAGTACATGCATTAGAGGAGCTTTTTAGGGGAGAGAGCATTTCACTCTTGCAGGAACTGGTTGCTGTTCCATACGTTTTGAACAGGTTACGTTAGCTGTAAGCATAACCTAGGGCATTACTGAACATCGACTCAACCTGGCCTTGAATCAATGTGTTACTTGGTGGAAGAGAATTTACAGCCGACTGACTGACAGTGGTCTGAGTGCAGGGAGGATGGAGCACTAGGGACACCTAGTGGTCACAATGGTGTCACTGTGTGTGGGAAACTTAACACTCGCTTCATGGTGGTGTTTATCATTAGCTGGGGGCACAAATAGGGCATACATGTGCTTGTTACACCCAGATGATATTTCATTTCCCTCTGAGAAGTTTCAGTGCTTAATGGGATAGTTCACCCAAATTACAAAATGGCATATTGGTTTCCTAACCCTGTAAGCAGTCTATGCACAAGGTATGACAGCAATCCATGCTTTGGTTTAGTTTCCACATGCTAACGTTTTAGCATTTGTGGCACAAATCCCATATTAGCATTTGTCGTGCATCATGTCCAAATCATCTATAAGTGACTTTGTTGAGATTCAAAATCAATTTGAGATACTTTCGGGGGATTTGGACATGATGCGCAAAAAAAGCTAATATCGGTAACATGTCTTGAATGGGATTTGTGCCACGAATGCTAAAACATTAGCATATGGAAACAGTGCCAGGGAAACTAAACCAAAACATGGATTGCTGTCATACCTTTCCATTGACCGCTTACAGCACGTGTCAAACTCATTCCACAGAGGGCCGAGTGTCTGCGGGTTTTCACTAATTAGTAAGGAACTCCCCTCACCTGGTTGTCTAGGTCTTAATTGAAAGGAAAAACCAAAAACCCGTAGACACTCGGCCCTCCGTGGAATGAGTTTGATACCCCTGGCTTACAGGGTTTGGAAACCAAAATGTTATTTTGTAATTTGGGTGAACTATTCCTTTAAATACTGTACTTATCAGAGGACAAGTCTTGTTTCTGGTAAAAGTTATAATACTGAGCAAGAGTAACATGAATACGGCAATGATGGCAAGTAAGTCAGCTCTCACATCACAAGGGCCAACTGTAAGAGATCACTGGTTTATTTGCAGTAACAGTCCATGAGAGACGCCTATTAGAGGGAAAACCATAGTGGTCCTTTAAAAATAGGCTAACATGCTGAAACTGACAGATCTCTGCAATCCATTTGGACATCATTCAAGGTTATGGCTCCATCTGAGTGACTGCAGATTATTGTCCACAGAGAGGTGTGCTAAAGCTGGATTATCCACTTGTTGGGGATCCATTTGACCCGATGAACACAACATGCCAGATTCACACGCCCTTGCATCTGTGGGTGTTTTTCCTATTTTTTCCCGTTTTGGAGGCGAGGAAAGGAGTATGATGGACGTGACTCCAAACCTCACAGTATTAAATAGATTACAGTGGTCACTGGTTGGAGAATAACAGTTGTGGTTAGAAAGAGGCAGTTGTTCATGCCACACTCACCTAACATAGGGACACTGTATACAGCTCTTTTCAAGTATCATCAGTTCATTGGTCCTGAACACATTGGTCAAAAAAGTAAAAAATAATTTACCTGAAAAATATAGACATACATTTGACAAAGCATACAGCATTTATCAATTCTAAACAAACTAAAGTAAAGGACATGATCTGCAGTTGAGTTATCTACAGTCTATAGAGCAGAAGTTGAGCTGATTTGCAACTGCACACACAGGAGCATCAGGATCATCCCATTGCTGTACTGGGGGTTTAGGAGCACCACCGCTCTGGAATATGTAAAATAATAGCATACACACACACAGGTAAGGTTTTGCAGTGTATCCTCTGACATGTCAAATATAATATCATAAAGAGTAATTACATTAGCAAGCACGACTAACTATCAGCATGCACAAGATTAAGTGGATCAACCTGCAATAGAGGGAGGTAGTAGCTTTTGCAACAGTTAGTGCTGCAACACAAGGGCCTGAGTTTAGATTATTTACCTACCTACTGTCCTCTTGGTTGGGGTAGGTGATAAGGGCCCTGTACCTGTTAGGCAGGAGGCCAGTGGTTGGCAGTGTGCTTGCCGTTCTTCTGATCTGCTTGAAGGTCCTCTCTGCCTGGGCACTGCCGGCATGGTTGGCAGTGCTGCTGTGCTTTTGCTTCTTGTCTGAGATGGGAATTAACACAGTTGTGTGAATTAAAGTGGTGCCTCTGACAGGATGAGAGTGTCAAACCCTAATGACTGGAGAACCGAGCATAATGAGTCCCACAGTATAACCAAAGAGAGAGAGAGTAAGGCGTACAATCTCTGTGTTGGTTAACCGACATAAAAGTAATCAGTTATTAACATGACAGCTCTGTCCATCATGGAGGTGAATGAAACATTAGTGTTCCCCATAACAAGACACCTGTAGATTATAATGTTGGTATTTCAATAATATTGATATCATGATGCACTGTGCAGATGTACTGTGTGTGACAGATGAGAAAGAGTGCTAACTAACGTTTGGGTGTGTCGTGGGGCAGTGCTTCGTCCAGGTTGCAGGCAATTTTCCCTCTAAGCTGCGTGGTGCGCAGCTCTCCCGGGACTGCTGCACAGAAGAAATATCAGCCCGTGCAGAGAAGCACGAGATTGAACTTCACTCAACTTTCTAGTTTTCCCCTTTAGTTAACACTATCAACGTTTCCCTCTACTGTGTGAATTGTGGTCGAATCAATGCTATATTAGCGACTTTCAATGCAACACACCAAAACAAAACAAACTATGCAATATATTTTCTTGTAGGCAGAGCGCATTGAGTAGGATTCTATTGCATTGACAGGCCCATACTCTACACAGATCGGTGCGCCATAACCAATCAGAGCTGCAGTATCCCTATATGCAAATAGACCATTGCCATATATGGATTTGTGCCATTCACTTTGAACTGGACTGTGTTTACAGCATGAGTGGTCACGAGTAGATGCGCTTGTTTTGAGATCAAAGCAAGAGCTGCATGTAGCCAGGTGTGTACATTTGTTAATATTCTTTGCTAGTAAGTGAGTTATTAGCCCAGTTATAGCTAATTTCTAGTCAGCAATGGGGGAGTGGTTGCTTCCTACAAGAGCACAAAACTTGTGCATTTCAAGCCATCTTTGAAAAGCAAGTCAGGTAAAGAGCTTTTTTTCTGTCTTAAAGGGCAGTGTTGTATTTTATTAATTTTATTTTGTAAAGTGGTTTCTTGAATAAACAACACTTTCAGTCACCTCCTTGTCTGAAGGGCAAGTGGATAAACAGGTTAATGTCAAAAGTCTCATGGAATGTAGGCCTACATTAAACACCACACATTTGCTGCTACTGTAGACTGAATAACAGAACAGCTATTTCCATGTTAAAATGTTATGGGATGCATTTTTCTCCATTGTTTTTGAAGGTAGGCCACTCTGGTAGGCTACATTATGATCAAATAGCCACAGTAGCCTACTTGGCCACTGTTAAAACTGTAACTTAAAGCAGGTACAGCCTCAGTGGTCAGAGTAAAGTTGACCAGAATTTTCACAATATTCAAGTTTGCGCTCAGCAGACCTGAAATTTGCTCAGTGCCGAAAAAATTAGAGGAAACATTGGTTGCAGGGTATCAGGATCTCATTACCCAGGATGTGTTGCAGTCCTCCACTCAGACTGGTGTCACACCAAGGGGCAGCCTGGGACATGAGGGGCAGCAGAGCCATGGGAATGGGAATTTGTGTGGAGAGAGGGAGGGACGGTGAATACCACAACAATGTTATACCACAAGAGAGGATATACTGTATACAGAAATGTACTTTGAGTCAGGTGATATTATTGGGTTTCCATATTAAGTGCACATTGGGACACTTTAGCAAGTGTCTCAAGTCTCTCTGACCCCATTAATGAGTCCTGCACTGCCTCCTACCTACTCTTCCTGCCTCACTGCACCCGCTAGTCTCTGCTATACCCACACCCACGTTACAGTATGGATGACCAAATTGCTGCTGTCTTTCATCATGTGTAAACATCTAATATGAGAATGAGAATGATCACTCAATAATAATTCCAACGGTTGAATGAAAACAAAAACAAGAGGCGGGTGAGAGCAGGCATAAGCCTGAAACGAGAGGGCTGGGGGTCAAGAGAGAGGAGAGGGTTTTGTGTTTATGTTTAATGAGAAAGCCCAGGATCCCCCTCTCTCTCTCGTTCCTACATCCTCTGTTAATGAATACAGGGGGCCGGGTTGACCCAGCTAATAAGGGGCAAATCCATTGGTGCATTATCGGCCGTGGAATTTCATCCAATCAGCAGGATGAACTGAGATGGCTTAGGCTTCTTTTAATTCAGCACTGGAGGAGCATACTGCCCCAGTCTCTCATTATGTGCATATCAAATCAGGGAGACAGACTGGGAGTTTGATCCTTGGTTTTTGGTAGTTGTTGTTTGGTTGTTGTTTTTCTGTCCCCTGATTGATTTCAAGTTGCATTGCAGTTGACATGATATGGCCCGTTATTTGGGCTTTTAGAGAAATAAGGCCTTTGTGGCTTTTTAGGTCAGTCTCATAAAGGGCATGGAGAAAACTGTATCTTGTCCTACAGACCACTGGCAGATAAGACAAAGCTCTTACCAACCAAGTGATACACAAAAGACAGTCCCATAACTCTGTCTGTATATTTCTCAGTCAATAAGCTCTCACCTGGGCCTCTGTGCAGAGTAGCTCAGCCCTGGTCCTCTCCTCCAGGGTGACCATCACTCCAACCAGAACCTGCAGCCTGGAGAGGCGTTATACCACCGCCGGCCTATGGAGGGTTCGCCTTGCCCCCTAGTACAACAGAAAACATTTACTCATGTAGGAACTCAGAGTGGCTGCAAGGCTGTCCTGAGAGGACTAAACTAGCATGGGGCTGTTTGTGAGTGCAACACATTTCTCTGAATTCACCACCCTCAGAGACCACACTTCTATCATCTCTAATGTTCCAGCTGATAGCCCCCTGCCCTCCCCTTCTCCCTGGTCCAGCTGATGGTCCCGCTGCTCCCCCTGGCCAGGGGACAAAGTCATCCTCTCCGGTCAGAGCCTTGTCTGTCCCAGCAGGAGGGAAGGCTGAGGGAAGGAGAAGGAGAGGAGATGAGAGGAGAGATGGTCTTGCCAGGGCACATGGGTGCAGCAGTGATCTCATGCGGCTGACAGCAGGAGGTATTGTCTCTGGAGCAGCTGTTGGCTCTCCACCCTGGCAGGATTAAGCCCCCTGGGGGAAGGGACAGGGGGATGGGGGCTGTGGGGTAAACAGGCTGGCACAGCTGAGGAGGCCTCCATGGATGGCAAGCCCTCTGCACTGATCCATGGGCTTCAGATGGGTGCTGAATCCGGGCCAATAGTGTCTGATAACGGCCCTGCCATTTGGTCAGCGGATTTGTCTCTGATGCCGGCCAGTTTGAGGCACAGCAGACGGCCCATCATGTAATCGCTTAATTTAGAACTACAGAGTTGCACTGAGTGTGTGTTTTGGTGAAAGTGAGTCTGTGAGCTTGCGTGTGAGAATTTGCGTCAGGTTTCGTCTCTTGGATTTCCAATGCACACAGAACTCAGGGGCTTTTCAGCCAAAATTAACACATACTGAAATACAGGCAAAGGAGACCCATAACGGGAATAATTTTACAATTTTAATTCTGTCAAGCGGGTAAAACAATTCACTGAGCCCTTGCTTGATTGTAGTAATTGTAGCTTACAGTAGACATACAAGGTTGTAATCATTGGTAAAAAAATGTAACTCAAAGGATTCCCTACAACTGACAGCTCAATCAGGGACGGAAGCTAGCTTTATACTATATGTCCGCTACCATTTCATGCTTTTCCATTTTTCCTTCCCTACTCACTTCATACCAGAAGAATCTTTACCCATCAGAAGCATACACCCCCCCCCCCCCCCCCCCCTCACATTTGTGGTAGCATGTTGTGCAATAACCATTGAGATATATCCATTTGGGCCAAACCGCATCATAATTTTGGAGCTATGAGGTTGGCAGCTGATGGGAGAGATTACACATATGATCTCTCATTAATCTCATGAGAGTTTGGGCACCCAAAAGGGGAGCGGGGGCGTCTCTCTCCCCCACGGTTCATGACTGAGCCGGGCTGTGACTCACACAGACCCCCATTGTGAAGGGTGGTGTGTTGGGTATGATTGCTGCGTTTTCATGTCTTAATTGAAAACATGAAAAGATTAAGAAAGAAAAGAAGGGAAGTGGAAAGAAAACGAGCGACAAAGTGCAAATCACCCGCCTGGGGTGAGAATGAGATGTAGGCTGAGACCTTGATTACACGTTGGCTTGATAGTTCCTCATAACCCTGACCTTCAATCAATGTTGATTCTCCTTAATACTAGCTACCCCACACACGCCACAGATTGGTGGTAACGATCTATAATTATGGCACTATATTTTCACCCCTTAGTTTGCAAACACTGCAGATCAAAATAAAACATTTTAGACGCCAAATGTACTTTGCACATGATGAGTGCATCACCATAATTCACTAACTGCAGTACAGACATTTTGACTGAACTTAGTGGACATTTCCACACTGAATTAATTCCTCATTACAGTATACAAAACATTAAGAACACCTGCTCTTTCCATGACATAGACTGACCAGGTGAATCCAGGTGAAAGCTATGATCCCATATTGATATCACTTATTAAATCCACTTTAAATCAGTGTAGATGAAGGGGAGGAGACAGGCTAAACAATTATTTTTAAGCCTTGAGACATGGATTGTGTATGTGTGCCATTCAGACAAAATACAAAATATTTAAGTGCCTTTGAACAGGGTATGGTAGTAGGTGCCAGGCACACCGGTTTGTGTCAAGAACTGCAACGCTGCTGGGTTTTCCACGCTCAACAGTTTCCCGTATGTATCAAGAATGGTCCACCACCCAAAGGACATCCAGCCAACTTTACACAACTGTGGGAAGCACTGGAGTCAACATTAGCCAGCATCCCTGTGCAACTCAATATTAGGAATGTGTTCCTAATGTTTGGTATATTCAGTGTATGAGTGCAAAGGAATGGCTCAGTATTGCCAGAAAGGGCAATGACTTGCAGTTGCAGGACACTGGAGGAGGGGTACCTGTAGTTTGTTCATGCCCAGCAACAGCCTCCTCAGTTCGGTAAGGGGTTGGAGGTGGTTGAGCTCCTGGAGGCGGTTCTCTGCCAGGTGCAGCTCCAGCAGGACAGCCTGACCAAAGAAGTTCTCCCCCAGGGCCTTCATCCGGTTCGGTTCCAAGACCAGCTCCCGCAGCCAGTGCAGCCCCTCCCAGCCCTCCACCTGTCTGTTCTCATTACCTGAGAGGAGAAGGTGGGATATGAAATCAGTAGGTAATTACATGACTACAGCTAACCCTCTTACCCATATGATTTGACCGGCATTATTGCAAATGACAACACTGAAAACTCTGCAATTCACTCAGATACTGTGTCTGTGGAACTAGAAGGTGAGTGTGGTCTGGTCTGTACAAAGATGTCTCGACAGGTTCATAAAACGAAACCCAGGGTGGGATTAGGGTCAGACAGTCACCAACTGAAGAAAGAAATAATCAAATGCAAACAATGGCAGACAGAAAAAGGTACTGTGTTCCTGTGACCCATCGGCATGCCCATTTAGTTTCTATTCTTGTTGCCTCATCTCCCACCTGGACAGGTCTGAGTAAGCCTCTCTGGTGACTGAGCTGTACTTTCATGGGCTTTGAAACATGAAGGAAATTGTTACTGTACCTTGGAGGAAGAGTGCTTTGAGATTGGTGAGCCTGCTGCGCTGCAGATTGGCAATAATTGGAGATGCCATTGTGGCTCAAATGCAGCACCACCAGGCTGCCCATCAGTGGCTCCAGGTTGTCCGCATGGTCCACTTCCCTGAAAGAGAGGGACAGAGTGGGCACTCAGAGTTAGCTGCCTCTGACTGAACGCACTGCACTTTCTCTCCCCACTGCCCCATTAAGAAGGCCAGACCTCACAGGTGCACAGCAACTCAAGGCAATCACAGCACAGGCAGACCACACAAAAGCCTGACCCCCCCCCCAACCCCCTTCCCAAATGAAATCTCTTTTATGTGCCGTTTACTTTATGTGTAAACTCTCCTCTGGTCTTTTTCAATAGTACCAGTGAAAAGGAAGATTTATGCTTTTCTGAAAACAGCTAGCAGAAGCCTGAGCTTTGTCACTGCAACAGGTTAGTGCTGCCCCAAGTGGCTGAAAGTAGAAAATACTATATTACAACAGAAAATAAATGAGTGCTATAACAACCACGTACTATACTGAGACCGTGGCGATTTTAGCATGTAAATCTTGGTGGGGAAAACTCACCCAAAAATGTTTTAGATGCATGCCAGCAAAGCCACTACACAACACAACACTAAACAATACATTAATTGCACTATAATGGTGACAAACGGTGCCCACAAACTGTTAGGGCCTACATAAAGCTGTCCCAACAGCAGAGTCCCAACAGCAGTCCCATCACCTTACCACTGGTACACCTGGCTATCAGCGGAGCCTTGTCTGGCAGCGAAACAGTTCATTCAGCCTCATGTACTTCCTTTTAAAAAAACATAGCTGATATGGCTGACTTGCTTAAACAAATGTGGTTTCTACTGACAATTGAGATGTCACAAACTATGGCATAAGGGGACGACGAGCGGATAAGAGGCAATCCGTAATTTCCATTAAGACATTAATGAGCAAGCTAGGATGGACGTAGTCAATATAAATATTTGTTCAGAACTTTTTAAATGTACAGCGACAGAATTCAGAACATGGGCCGTACTGACAGTGTTCTCTCTGTACACCAAGTCAGAACCATAGGATAAATAAAGGGGGCATATAAGCAGACAATGAAAGCTCTTACAATATTCAATGATTACATCTCTCTAAAACAGGCTATAGGCTACATGTGCACCACCAAGTCAGAAGAAAAGGGACCAAATTATTAGGGTGAGGTACATGGGCTACTACCAGCTTACTACACAACATACACTTAGTATTACTTTCTTAGCTACAGTATACATATATCTCCCTGGCATATTACATCATTTATGCATACAATACATTTTTGGACTCACCTTGTTGTGCTGTGTTCCCTTGAACAGGAAGGTAGCGCGGCGGTCCTTCTTGGACAAATGTTGTCATCAAAGTCTGGCATTCTCTGGATTTATGGTGCTTTCAGACAACTGGGAACACGGAAAAAAACAAGGTTGAATCATGATGACGTCAGTGATCTTCAGGTCGGAGCTCTAGAAAGAGGCCCTAGTTCCCAACTTGCAATTCCGAGTTGGATGACTGTTCAAAATGTATTTTCCCAGTCGGAGCTCATTTTTTCCCCCAGAGTTCCCAGTTGTCTTGAACTCACTGAAGTCTGAGATTTCCCAGTTCTGAGTTTCCAGTTGTTTTGAGCACAGCAGAAGTCATGCTGGATTGACAGCATGGCCAATGTTGAATGTTTATCCTTTTAAGCTTGGAAAAGAGACCCTTAAACCCAGACTTGGACCACACACCCACTCCACTAAATAGCAGGCTAGTGATTGCTTTGCAATGCTTGCAGTTAGCCACTGATTCCTTCCAAACCACTCACTGTTGAATTTGCGATTTCCAACTTGTTGTGTAATGTTCATGTCCAATGGCCGATGAGCAGCGATACATTTTATCTATAATTTCTCTTCATTATTTCTCGTCACATGACAAGGATTTGCCAGTAGATTGTCGACTTGATACATAATGATGACTGCTAGCTAAGATTTTGAAAGTATGATGTTGACATGATCAGTCCAATCAAAGCTACTGTAGATATAACGTGATGCCTTCTTGGATGGTCACTTCTAAAGTAACTCTATGGCAGCACCCAAGAGGTTTGAATTTTCAAGCTCTACCCATAGATGTTGCGGCGACGTAGTGTTCCCATGTGTGACAGAACACTGATCCAATCACAGCGCAAATAGAGAACATTACCAACCCCTACGCTCCATATTTTCCGCTGGCTTCCCCACCACCACAGAAAGCACTGAGCTAGGCTGAAACACCTGCATTTTGGAGCTGCCTTACTCAAGAAAGCAAAAAAGAGACCAAGTTTGTATGCAGCTTTATTAACTCAATTATATTTATATATTTTTTTACATTGTTTGCAAACTGATATGTGACACGTATTAATGCCAAAATAACATGCAAAACAGGCAAAAACATTTAAATTGTTATAGCTAAACAGGTGGGGCTCAAAACTGAATGACGAGTCACCACTGTACTGAGAAGACAGAAATGGTTAAAGCTTTTCATGAATTGTTCATTTCCACATCACAAACTGTGTTTAAAAAGTAATACATTTAAATGTTATGTTCAAATAATAGACTTTAATCTGTAGTGCTGGTACCTGCTGCCTTTTGAGGAGCCCTGCTAGCCGTAACCAATGGAATTCACCTTGTGGGAGAGAATCTGTCTGTTAGTCAGGTGGGCCTGGGCCTTCTGCCTCGGCAGGATGGACTCTATGTGGTTATTGTTCAAACACAGAGCCTACATGGAAGAAAGGAAGAAAACATTTTTTGTTAATGGTTTAACCCAACTGTTCAACTGACGAAGTGAGAGTCAAATTATTTGACAAATATCACAGATAGAAGAGTCAGACAAGCTTGTGGGAGAAAGCAAAACAACACATGGGTTAGTCTGGCCGGTTGGCACACCTTGATGTTGGGCAGGTAGACAAGGCCACTGAAAGAGGTGAGGTTGTTGTGCTCTAGGTTGACACTGCGCAGGTTGTAGAACAGGTCTGCTGGGGCCAGGTCCACCATCCTGGGGAGAGAGGGAACACTTTATACATGCTCACTATGTTTTATTCTCTCTTCTACTCATCTAAAGGTGACTGAAATACTGTGACGTACTACTACACAGTACAGTATGCTCAGTAACCTGATTGCGCAGGATTGCAGGTTGAGATCAGCAATGTCAGAGTAGTTGGAGTGTCCCAGTTTCTCTGCCACCATGTCAGGGATCAGGCGTCCACCAAACACATCCTTGGCATTCTCACGTCATTTCCTACGGATCACAATGACATCATCACTTCTGTTTCTCTCAATTCAACAAACAGATTCAGAACTGTTTTGATTATGATGTAAACATACCACTGCGATCCCATCCAGCGCCTTTAGAGAGGGTAAGTGGAACACCACATAAATCCCAGTTTTCCAGTTTCTCCACTAAAGGATTCCCATACAGACCCAGAATGATAAAGTTTGTCAAAGCCTAGAAAAAACAAATGACAAAAATAATAATTGTGGTCTTGAAATACGAAAGAACCAGAATATACAAACATGATATCATGCTTGGCTGTGTGAGGCTCTGCTCATCTTCAGGTGGTAGATGTCTCGTGTTATGGTGATGATGTTGTTGCCGATGTACAGCTTGAATAGGGAGCTGGCCCTCTGCACCCTGTACAGGGGGCCAATGCAGTTGTTCTCCACACACAGGAAGTGCGGGTTGGACAGCCGGTCCAGGATGTTGCCGTCCAGACAGGACAGCTTGCTCCCATTCACACTGAACTTAGAGAGCTGGTGCAGTTTGGCCGCACCTGAGAGGACAAAGATAGGGAGGGGAAACCACATACATCTGTGATGGACATGATTCCCTTGTCAATAACACATCATTTTATTTTTTGTGGAGACCATTGATATTAGGACTGACAGTCTAGCCTAGAGATGAAGCTGTCATTGAGAGACAGCTCCTCTAGATGCTGGCAGTTGTCCAGACCCTCCACTTTAGCGATGTCGTTGTCATTGAAGGAATCCCAGCGCAGTTTGACCAGTTTGTCCAGGTTCATGAGCCTAGAGAGCCTCTGGTGTCAAGGTTAAGGGCTGTGATCTTCTCAGGGTTCAGAGGTCACTGTTAAATAAAAAGGCTGCACTTGTACCACAGATGAATCACCTGGAAAGAACCCTCTGTCACCAGCACATCATCCAGGTGTGTGACAGTCATCAGACATCCCAGAACAGTCATCCTCACTGCCTCGGGCTGGGACCAACACATCACTTTCATCACCACAGTGTCTGGTTGGTCTTGATGTACGGATTATGGGCACTCTAAATCTCATGTTAGAGCAGGTGTTAGTGTGTGCTGTAGTATTACCCTGTGCCAGGGATTGTGACGGGTGTTCAGTCCAGTCGCAGCAGGGCGGGGGCGTGTTTCCGGAGCACAGACGTCTCCTTTCTGGCCCGGTTGAGCTGGTTCCAGCGTAAGTCCAGCTGCTTGAGACGCCCCAGCCGCCTCAGCCCCTCCAGGGACAGCAGGTGGTTGTAACTGGCGTCCGCAAACTCCAGGTTGTGCTGAAGGAACACAGGGAACATAATGTATGTAGGACTCTTGTGTGCCTCTGCTGCTGGGCCCTGGGAACTCAGGTTGGGCTCGGTCCTGATAGGAGGGAACATCATAGTGGAGAGGACAGACGGGTGGTGAATATCAGCACCTGGTTAGTGGATTAACAAAAAATGGAACATCGAAAGACAAACAGGGTATACTTTTTCCTACCTGGGTGTTATACTCAAATTCGATGAGGTACTCCGGTAGGACAAGCTCATTGTCAAATAGACTGCAATCACAGCCGCTGTGGATCTTGGAGGAGCAAGGCCTCTCTATAAGTATAGAAGTCTCAGGTTGGTCAACAGGAGGATGGAACAATAGTATGTTGACTTTTTTTGGTGGTTTTCATTAAGAGAGAACTGTCACCAGTAAAAAAAATGTTGTTCTGAAAAGTAACAACTGTGATATTTCAAATGACATTACCTCCATTTGTCTTATGGCCCTGCTCTGGGCTCATCTTGTGGTAAACAGAATGAGTTTTAGGATAGTTGAGGGGGTCCACTGAATCTCCTTCTCTGATAGGGAAGCTGCGGCCCAGGTACACTTTGGACACAAAGATCTGACCTGGAAACAGGAGGACAGTTAAACAGAAATGAAATGGTTCTCTCTGATACATCAAATTCTAAACCAAACAAAAATCACTTTTACATTTACATCCTGATTTATATCCTCAAGGTTTCATTAGCAATGCAAAGTAATTGAAGTGTGTGAAAGGATGAAATAGGACCGTACAGACCGTGTCTGAAAAGGAGAGGGTCTATGCTCTGCTTGGAGGTGCCTTGGTTGGCCTGTCACTGTGTGTACTCAATTCTAGGCCTGTCCGTCACACTCAGGCTGTTAGACAAGGGTACAACCCTCTCAATGCCCAGGGCCCAACACAGACACAAGACACAATCTCAGGAACTAAAACAATGGTCCAATCTCAGGCATAGCGTACAGTCTAAATAATACCTCATACATACAGTGGGGAGAACAAGTATTTGATACACTGCCGATTTTGCAGGTTTTCCTACTTACAAAGCATGTAGAGGTCTGTAATTTTTATCATAGGTACACTTCAACTGTGAGAGACGGAATCTAAAACAAAAATCCAGAAAATCACATTGTATGATTTTTAAGTAATTAATTTGCATTTTATTGCATGACATAAGTATTTGATATATCAGAAAAGCAGAACTTAATATTTGGTACAGAAACCTTTGTTTGCAATTACAGAGATCATACATTTCCTGTAGGTCTTGACCAAGTTTGCACACACTGCAGCAGGGATGTTGGCCCACTCCTCCATACAGACCTTCTCCAGATCCTTCAGGTTTCGGGGCTGTCGCTGGGCAATACAGACTTTCAGCTCCCTCCAAAGATTTTCTATTGGGTTCAGGTCTGGAGACTGGCTAGGCCACTCCAGGACCTTGAGATGCTTCTTACGAAGCCACTCCTTAGTTGCCCTGGCTGTGTGTTTCGGGTTATTGTCATTCTGGAAGACCCAGCCACGACCCATCTTCAATGCTCTTACTGAGGGAAGGAGGTTGTTGGCCAAGATCTCGCGATACATGGCCCCATCCATCCTCCCCTCAATACGGTGCAGTCGTCCTGTCCCCTTTGCAGAAAAGCATCCCCAAAGAATGATGTTTCCACCTCCATGCTTCATGGTTGGGATGGTGTTCTTGGGGTTGTACTCATCCTTCTTCTTCCTCCAAACACGGCGAGTGGAGTTTAGACCAAAAAGCTCTAATTTTGTCTCATCAGACCACATGACCTTCTCCCATTCCTCCTCTGGATCATCCAGATGGTCATTGGCAAACTTCAGACGGGCCTGGACATGCGCTGGCTTGAGCAGGGGGACCTTGCCTGCGCTGCAGGATTTTAATCCATGACGGCGTAGTGTGTTACTAATGGTTTTCTTTGAGACTGTGGTCCCAGCTCTCTTCAGGTCATTGACCAGGTCCTGCCGTGTAGTTCTGGGCTGATCCCTCACCTTCCTCATGATCATTGATGCCCCACGAGGTGAGATCTTACATGGAGCCCCAGACCGAGGGTGATTGACCGTCATCTTGAACTTCTTCCATTTTCTAATAATTGCGCCAACAGTTGTTGCCTTCTCACCAAGCTGCTTGCCTATTGTCCTGTAGCCCATCCCAGGCTTGTGCAGGTCTACAATTTTATCCCTGATGTCCTTACACAGCTCTCTGGTCTTGGTCATTGTGGAGAGGTTGGAGTCTGTTTGATTGAGTGTGTGGACAGGTGTCTTTTATACAGGTAACGAGTTCAAACAGGTGCAGTTAATACAGGTAATGAGTGGAGAACAGGAGGGCTTCTTAAAGAAAAACTAACAGGTCTGTGAGAGCCGGAATTCTTACTGGTTGGTAGGTGATCAAATACTTATGTCATGCAATAAAATGCAAATTAATTACTTAAAAATCATACAATGTGATTTTCTGGATTTTTGTTTTAGATTCCGTCTCTCACAGTTGAAGTATACATATGATAAAAATTACAGACCTCTACATGCTTTGTAAGTAGGAAAACCTGCAAAATCAGCAGTGTATCAAATACTTGTTCTCCCCACTGTATCTGCTGTTTAAAGTCGTCCTCTGGAATGTGCAACATCTAATTTTTCTCACTGGTTCTTTCAGGAGAATACACATATAATAGGTACTCCAGCCAGTGTTTGTAATTCCTGCACAAAGATTAGGAGTAAAGAAAGCGTAAGGATCCGTCTCAAAACAGAGCTACTGACAGGTGTAATATTGCAGTTTATGTAGTCTGTTCTTCAACTTTTTCTGTGTAATTTTAGACAGAGAGCCAGTATGAGGAACTGCACTCAGGCTAGATTGAACAGTGGCTGGTGCGAGAGAGAAAAAATATCTGTAGAGTTCAAAAGGTACTCGCACTCCAATCTTTAATGGAAAAACAACTAGTTGGCCGAGATGCAAAAATATATTTAATTTAATCCATGCTATAAAGAATACAAAAGGTGAAAGTGCAAAGTGTTTAAAAGTGCTTAAAACACCTTTCGGATTCTTTTGACTTTGAGTAATTACGTATATTTTTGCGTCTCGGCCTACTTGTTTTTTCCATGTAATAATTTTAGACATATAACACTGAGGACCTGAGGTGAATATCACAGAGTAAAGGAGAGAGGTGCCATTTTAAGATTTCCCAGTCTCATCATGGGCACTCACTGTGAGAACATTGTTGACTCCTCGCTGGCCAACAGGGTATGAAGCTTGTCCTCGAAGCGAAGCCGCGGTTATGGATGTGGATGATACGGTTGATCTTGATGCCAGTAATGCCATAAGCCTTGTAGTCCCACACACAGAAACGGAAGGAAGTAAACCTGTTGGGAGGAGAGAGAAAACAGTGGACTCAGTAGCTAAATGCTGCATGCAAATCACCTACACATATAACCTACACAAACGAGGTAAACTCATAATGCCACTGTTATGTAAAAGGAGATAATTTGTACCAGGGGTCTGTGAAGCAGCCCTCTTCAAACCGAATATTCCCCACTGTCTCAAGCTACATCAGCAGAAAGTGGATCATCAGCTCGTTCCTGTTGGTGGCTTGGGTCAAGTCCTGCAGGTACCAGGAGTCAATCCTGCAAAACAAGGCAAAATAACTCTACTTTTTACACTTCATTATCTACATGCCAATATAAAGCTTACATGTAAACAACAATGCAAAATGAGACTGTTTCAGCCCCTCTAAATGCAAAGATCTCTTGGAGGTCTAATCCATTATTTGTGTGCACTGAACACTTCCTAATATTGAGTTGCACCCCCTTTTGCCCTCAGAACAGCCTCAATTCGTCGTGTCATGGACTACAAGGTGTCGAAAGCGTTCCACATGGATGCTGGCCCATATTGACTCCAATGCTTGTCACAATTGTGTCAAGTTGGCTGGATATCCTTTGGGTGGTGGACCATTCTTGATACACACGGGAAACTGTTGAGCGTGAAAAACCCAGCAACGTTGCAGTTCTTCACACACTCAAACCAGTGCAGCTGGCATCTACTACCATACCCCGTTCAAAGGCACTTAAATATTTTGTCTTGCCCATTCACCCTCTGAATGGCACACATACACAATCCATGTTTCTATGTCTCAAAAATCCTTCTATGGCCTGTCTCCTCCCCTTCATCTACACTGATTTGAAGTGGATTTAAAAGGTGACATCAATAAGGGATCATAGCTTTCACCTGAATTCACTTGGTCAGTCTGTCATGGAAAGACAAAGTGTTCCTAATGTTTTGTACACTCAGTGTATATGAACTCACTCCTCCAGCCTCCTGTTCCATACTTTCAACCTCTCCTTCAGGGCATCTAGCTTGGAGAGGATCTTGTGTTCCAGGCCGGGGCCGCGGGTGATATCAGCAAGGGTGTCACTGCGGTCCCCTGAGCCCTCACTCAGCGAGGACGGTCCATCCTCCCAGGTACGGGCCGACTTCCGGCACAGGGCCTGCACCTCAGACTCCAGCTGCTCAAGACACCAACACAACAGTCATATTAAGCACCACTGTAAATGAATGACATACGCAGCAAAAAAATTTTTAGGGCATAGTGTTGTACTGACATTTTTTAGGGCGTAATTGAAAGCTCTGATGCGGTCCTCTGGCAGCTGTAAGAGATTCCTCTTGTTCTCCAGCAGATTGGCCTGAGTCTCTGCCAGGTTCCTCCGGGCTGTCTGCACACGCATGTTGTAGTACATCATCTTCTTCATCACCATGGACCGGAAGGAACAGATGTTACAATGTATTGTGTGCAATGGAACCCCTTTATTCATAGCATACATGTTTAGTTCATTGGACTGTAATTACACTAGCAGATTAGAAGAAATGCAGCACCTGAAAATTCCCCATCATCAGAGTTCAGGGATAACTCCTTAAACAAATGCTGTAATCTCTCAGGAGTAGAGTATCAGAGACCTGGAGACCACACAGTGACAGCAGTTGTGAATGCTGACCCTGCAGTGTCCTTCACTTGCTTGCTGGAGACGTCATAGGTGTCAAGCCGCTGGAGGCCTGGCATGTGGTAGAGCACGTTGGTGGCATAGTTACAAAGCAGATACACTGGGGTGGGGCTTCACTGCGGGTCCTTCTGCCCCAGCTCTCTCAGACAGATCAAGGGGACCAGGAGGGTCAGCTCCTGTTACACACCACGATAACATTTTATTTTATTTATTTATTTAACCTTTATTTAACCAGGTAAGCCAGTTGAGAACAAGTTCTCATTTACAACTGCGACCTGGCCAAGATAAAGCAAAGCAGTGCGATAAAAACAACAACACAGAGTTACATATGGGGTAAAACAAAACATAAAGTCAAAAATACAACAGAAAATATATATACAGTGTGTGCAAATGTAGCAAGTTATATAGGTAAGGCAATAAATAGGCCATAGTGCAAAATAATTACAATTAGTATTAACACTGGAATGATAGATGTGCAAGAGATGATGTGCAAATAGAGATACTGGGGTGCAAATGAGCAAAATAAATAACAATATGGGGATGAGGTACACACCCGTCGCTATGGGCGGGCCATAGGGGGCCGGGCCCGCCCCCAAAAATGCTTGTGCCCCCACCCCCACTTGAATCCTGGTCCCCTTGATCTGTCTATACGTACTGTAGGCTAATAATAATTGTGCCCTGCCCTCCCATGCATTTCATATGCCCCCCTTAAGACTGAGGTCTGGCGACGGGTCTGATGAGGTAGTTGGGTGGGCTAATTTCAGATGGGCTGTGTACAGGTGCAGTGATCGGTAAGGTGCTCTGACAACTGATGCTTAAAGTTAGTGAGGGAGATAAGAGTCTCCAGCTTCAGAGATTTTTGCAATTCGTTCCAGTCATTGGCAGCAGAGAACTGGAAGGAATGGCGGCCAAAGGAGGTGTTGGCTTTGGGGATGACCAGTGAGATATACCTGCTGGAGTGCATACTACGGGTGGGTGCTGCTATGGTGACCAATGAGCTAAGATAAGGCGGGGATTTGCCTAGCAGTGATTTATAGATGGCCTGGAGCCAGTGGGTTTGGCGACGAATATGTAGTGAGGACCAGCCAACAAGAGCGTACAGGTCACAGTGGTGGGTAGTATATGGGGCTTTGGTGACAAAACGGATGGCACTGTGATAGACTACATCCAATTTGCTGAGTAGAGTGTTGGAGGCTATTTTGTAAATTACATCGCCGAAGTCAAGGATCGGTAGGATAGTCAGTTTTATGAGGGCATGTTTGGCAGCATGAGTGAAGGAGGCTTTGTTGCAAAATAGGAAGCCGATTCTAGATTTAACTTTGGATTGGAGATTCTTAATGTGAGTCTGGAAGGAGAGTTTACAGTCTAACCAGACACCTAGGTATTTGTAGTTATCCACATACTCTAGGTCAGACCCGTCGAGAGTAGTGATTCTAGTCGGGTGGGCGGGCGGGTGCCAGCAGCATTCGATTGAAGAGCATGCATTTAGTTTTAATAGTGTTTAAGAGCAGTTGGAGGTTACTGAAGGAGTGTTGTATGGCATTGAAGCTCGTTTGGAGGTTTGTTAACACAGTGTCCAATGAAGGGCCAGATGTATACAAAATGGTGTCGTCTGCGTACAGGTGGATCTGAGTCACCAGAGAAAAGAGTCAACATGATGTTGATGCTTAAGAGGGACACGTTTAAAAGCACTAACCTGAAGCATGCACAACCCTGATTGGCACTCCACTCCACTAATGATTTGGATACTATATATCTGAGAGGAGGGCATCTCCTTAATGGATTACATTTACATTAACATAATTGATTAATGAGATGATTGGATTTCCACTTGTTTGTTGGTGGGGGGGTTTCCTGAGGTTTCATGAGAGAGGACCAACTGTTCCTTCACATAAACAGCATACTTGACTTCATATATGTTGTAAGAATATAGTAAAAAATTATGGATGAGACTAACAATTTCATGCATCATTTTGTGGAAACCTCCCTTTAACCCTACCTTGTTGATTACACAGTAAAAAATAAATATGCAAATTTGACAGACAATTCATGCAACTCAATGAAATTGTCACGCCCTGGCTCTGGGGACTCTTTAATGTTGAGCCAGGGTGTTAGTTTCTATGTTTAGTTTTCTAAGTTTATGTTCTAGATCGTGTGGATCTATGTTGGCCAGGGTGGTTCCCAATCAGAGGCAGCTGATTCTCGTTGTCTCTGATTGGGAACCATACTTAGGCAGCCTGTTTGGCACAGTTAATTGTGGGATCTTGTTCCGGAGAGGTTTGTGTTTTGTTTAACCTTAGGACTTCACGTATCGTTTTGTTGTTTTGTGTATTATTGAAAGTACTTATTAAAAGATGTACGCATATCACGCTGCGCCTTGGTCTGCTTCGCTTCCTATAACGATCGTGACAGAAATGAGTGTCTGAGTGACTGAAAAAAAGTGTTTGTATTATTTGAAAGGGCAAGATTGTTATTTTCTTTTCTTTTTTTTCTTTCTTTTTTTAAACCATACTTACTACTCAGGCTACTAAAGGATAAATGCCACATGAAAATTACAAAGATGGAAAGCTTCAGATGAATCGTGCAACAGGTAAAATCAGCAGATATTTTCTAAACTGCCTTAATAATGCGGCTTCAACATAGACAAAATGCAGGGAATTGCTGTACAGATTTTTTAAAATCAATTCAAGACTGGGAAAATAGGAAAATATCCAGACTCACGGCCAATCAAAAATAATAGCCAATCCTTTGTTGGGTGACTGATTTTTCCATTGTTGACTAGGATAAAGGTTTCAATGAATGATCATATATATATATATATATATAATCTACTATAGATTAGGCAATCAATATATTTGACTGAGAAGCAAGCCTGTAATTGACCATATGCAAAGGTCGTAGACAGATATTAGATTGAGAAAGTGCAAATGTACAACTTAAAAGATTAAAAGGAGCTGATCTTGTTCCCAGATATATTCAGATTTTCAATGCTGATATTAGGATCAAGATTGTGTCCTGTGAAACAGTTAACAGATAACTGAACAATTATCATTATAAAGTAAATCAAAAATGTAATCTGTAAAGTTTACGGCCATTGATTCAACCCACCTATCTTTTCAATGTTATTGTCAGCTAGGTTCAGCTCTCTCAGCTTTTGAAGTACAGTTGAAGTCGGAAGTTTATATACACCTTAGCCAAATACATTTAAACTCAGTTTTCACAATTCCTGACATTTAATCCTAGTAAAAATTCCCTGTTTTAGGTCAGTTAGGATCACCACTTTATTTTAAGAATATGAAATATCAGAATAATATTAGAGAGTGATTTATTTCAGCTTTTATTTATTTCATCCCATTCCCAGTGGGTCAGAAGTTTACATACACTCAATTAGTATTTGGTAGCATTGCCTTTAAAATATTTAACTTGGGTCAAACGTTTTGGGTAGCCTTCCACAAGCTTCCCACAATAAGTTGGGTGAATTTTGGCCCATTTCTCATTTACATTTACATTTTCGTCATTTAGCAGACGCTCTTATCCAGAGCGACTTACAAATTGGTGCATTCACCTTATGATAGCCAATGGGACAACCACTTTACAATATATATATTTTTTATTTTATTTTAAAAAAAAACAAATTGGGGGGTGGGGTAAGGGGGGGTAGAAGGATTACTTTATCCTATCCCAGGTATTCCTTAAAGAGGTGGGGTTTCAAGTGTCTCCGGAAGGAGGTGAGTGACTCCGCTGTCCTGGCGTCGTGAGGGAGCTTGTTCCACCATTGGGGTGCCAGAGCAGCGAACAGTTTTGACTGGGCTAAGCGGGAACTGTGCTTCCGCAGAGGTAGGGGGGCCAGCAGGCCAGAGGTGGATGAACGCAATGCCCTCGTTTGGGTGTAGGGACTGATCAGAGCCTGAAGGTACAGAGGTGCCGTTTCCCTCACAGCTCCATAGGCAAGCACCATGGTCTTGTAGCAGATGCGAGCTTCAACTGGAAGCCAGTGGAGTGTGCGGAGGAGCGGGGTGACGTGAGAGAACTTGGGAAGGTTGAACACCAGACGGGCTGCGGGTTCTGGATGAGTTGTAGGGGTTTAATGGCACAGGCAGGGAGCCCAGCCAACAGCGAGTTGCAGTAATCCAGACGGGAGATGACAAGTGCCTGGATTAGGACCTGTGCCGCTTCCTGTGTAAGGCAGGGTCGTACTCTGCGAATGTTGTAGAGCATGAACCTACAGGATCGGGTCACCGCCTTGATGTTAGCGGAGAACGACAGGGTGTTGTGCAGGGTCACGCCAAGGCTCTATGCACTCTGGGAGGAGGACACAACGGAGTTGTCAACCGTGATGGCGAGATCATGGAACGGGCAGTCCTTCCCCGGGAGGAAGAGCAGCTCCGTCTTGCCGAGGTTCAGCTTGAGGTGGTGATCCGTCATCCACACTGATATGTCTGCCAGACATGCAGAGATGCGATTCGCCACCTGGTTATCAGAAGGGGAAAGGAGAAGATTAATTGTGTGTCGTCTGCGTAGCAATGATAGGAGAGGCCATGTGAGGATATGACAGAGCCAAGTGACTTGGTGTATAGCGAGAATAGGAGAGGGCCTAGAACTGAGTCCTGGGGGACACCTGTGGTGAGAGCATGTGGTGCGGAGACAGATTCTCACCACGCCACCTGGTAGGAGCGACCTGTCAGGTAGGACGCAATCCAAGAGTGAGCAGCGCCGGAGATGCCCAACTCAGAGAGGGTGGAGAGGAGGATCTGATG